TACACTGCTAGCATTTACAATCTTTTGCCTTTTCTTCCACTTCTCATTACATTTTAGCTCATGTATGAGGGTCTCTAACAAAGCATTGGTTTATGCCAATTGTCCTTCCAAAGCATCCAATCAAGCCTTGAATAACTAAATCTCACCACCAAACTCTTATTTGAAAATTTCCTCATTAAAGTCTTCTTCATCTATAGTTTCTTGTTCAATTGGAGGTTTCATCTCCAAAGGAGGTTTTATCTCTACCTTGGTCCACTTATGCCATGCCTTAGCCATTTCCTAACAATCTATCACTAGAATTAAGGAAAAGGTTCTAATACCAAATTGTAAATCACAAATTTTTTCTTTCTAATTTACTAGTTTACCTCATTTATCCGACCACCACTGCCTTGGCCTTAGTTCAGTTTCATTACCAAAGTTTCCACTTATTATACTAACTCCTACTTGGATTTAACTACTCACTGTACAAGTAACAAGGTGTTAGCCATCTATCTATAGATTCCTGAATTCTTTTCCAATCCCCCTCTTTGGGTTAGATTGGATTTAAGATTCAGTTACACTCCCCACAAGCATAAATAGCCAAGCACACCAAGGCTTTAGATTCTTAATATCCCTTGGTACAACAAGATTTGATTATAAAACCCTCTAAATCCTAAGTCTTGGGTGCATTTTTTACTTCGGGACCCTAGAGGGAAATACTATGGCTTAACAGCCTAGTATGAATACCCCTACTCCCTCATTTCCATCCCCAAGCTTTTAGGAAGGAACGAGGATTAATAAGCCACATAATACTTAAATAGGGCACTACTCTATATAAGCCAAGAGCATTATTGTCAATTTTCCTTTTAAGAGTAAAAGTTGTTTTTGAGCATTTCCTTGGGTAACTCCTCTACCCACCCAAGGCCATTAACCCCTAATCCCAATTTTAACTCGATTTGGAAGCACCATTAAAAAGTTCTTTCAAAACTAAGTTCTAAACCTCACTATCTCTATTATACTTTTGGAACCCTCTACAACAGCCCTCCCCCAACCCCTCAGGAGATTACTCCCCCACTTTCGTCCTAATGGGAAAGCCCTAATCCCTACACGGGACTGGGGACTAATAAGCCTTGTGGTACTTAAGTGGGACACTACTTCATATGAGTGAGGAGTACCATTGTCAGTTTCCCTTTTGAGAGTGGAAGTTATTTTTGAGTATTTCCTTGGGTGGCTTTTGTAACACCACTCAAATCCATACTCACTCTCACCTAAGGCTACTAACCTTTAGTCCTAACCTCAATTCATTTTGGAAGCACCATTATAGAATTCTTTCAAAACTTGATCTTAAACTTCACTATCCCTATTATACTTTTGAAACCCTCTATAGCCCCCTGAAATGTTATTTGTTTCATTTTTAAACTTTCTCTACAACAATAATATTCATTTCTCCAGCAACATAATCCTAGTTATGTTGCTTCACATGGTGGTATGATTGATGTCCACTACTACACAAGTCTGACTTATTGCATTATATAATTTAAATTTTTGTCATTTAGTTTTAAAATTTTAACTTAAAATGTTCAGTTGTTATTGTTATTAGTAGCCATCATTTGTGACTAGATTTAAAGTAAAATTAGATTTTTTTTAAAGTTGACATTTGTAGTTGCAATATATTTTAAACAGTTATAAAACAAAAAATATGTAGTCTAGAAGTTATTTTTGAATAAATTTTAAGTCAATTATAATAGTTATGATGAAATTGTTTTTTAATAACTTAAAATATCATCATAAATGGTATTTATAGTAAAAAATTAAGTAAATAACTGATATTCTAATTTATGACCATTAAAACTGATAAATCACAGTTGGAACTGCCCTTAGAAAATCATATATAGTGATCTATGCTAGAGTGCCATAGTCAAACATACCAAATATTAATGTGACAAACACAAGATTAAAAGTGATAGCATACTTAGATAAACTTTGAGTGATGCCAAATAGCACAATTTTTCATCACCTTTTTCTAGAAGTTTACTGCAGTAGTAGTTTTTTTTATCTAACCTTTAAAAGGCTCCTTGTTTAAGTGTATCATTCCCATAAAGACACCACCAAGGAAAGCAATTAAATCCTCCTAGAAAATATGCAAAAAAAATTTATATTATCTTACTCACTTTACGATTGAGTTGCAGTGGCCAATGCAAACCACCCTTGACAGTCATCTATTAAAGTAATTCTGACATGTGCTTTATAGGTGCTCTCTCCTCGTCCTATTTTTAGGAAAAAATTAGCTCTTAATCAACAACAAAAGAAAACTTAATTGGAATGTTTCACCTTTAGATCATCATGGAAGCATCATTGTGATATTCTTTCCTCAAACCTCACAGATTATAAAAAATCAATCAATCAATCAATCAATCACACATAGAAATTGAATTTTTCTGTCAAAGCAAAAGTGCAATGTTAGTTGTTTTGAGAAATCTAAAAAATCTTACTTAGCTTTTGTTTGTCTTGCATGCTTTTTTTGGAAGAAAAATAGAGCTAACTCTAGTGTCACAACTTAAAGCTGCTGAGAGCATTAAGAGTATCATACCTTGAATGGATGAAAAATTAAACTCAGCTTAAGAAAACAAAGAAATCAAAGGAAAGTTTCCATTCCAATCCAACTTACCATGAACTCTTTATAGTAGAAATAATAAAGATTGATGAGCTCCTTGCAAATTCCATTGTTGTGGGTAATTGATTGCATTCCCTTACCAGAAAAGTTAACATATGTGAAACAATGAATAATATGAAGCAATGAAAGTAACAAGAAATAAAACATTAGTTACCTATGATTTAAATAAGATTTGTCAAAAAACACCTTCAAGCTTCTAAGATAGGAAAAATAATAACTTCAATGTCAAAGACAAGCATCAAGACCATTTACTCTGCCAATGCTAGTACCTCCATCCAAGACTTGACCATATTTCTAAACAGCTAATAAAAATCTTTACACAAACCAAAGAAATAAAACCATAAGTTCATCATAAATATAACTTCTCAACAATTGTGAGAATCCTTTACATTCTTGGGACAAAAAAAAAACTATAGGCAAACAATCCTTACCTTGAAGCACAATGTCTAGGATCTAAATTGCACTAAAGCTTTGCCATGTGATTTGGAGATACAAGTTGCTGAGGGTATAGCCAACTGTGCCATGAAGAACAAGGTAGCCTTTCTCCAAGCTCTGCAAAACAACCATAGCACTTAGGCATAGTGATGATACTAACAGATGGGACGAACAATCCTATTTAGCTCCACCATCATTGCCATCCCCATCTCCACAATTGTCCAAGTAAAATCATGACAGTATTAATTCTAGGATAATTTAAACATGCCAACCAAAAGTTTTATTTTTAATTGCATATTAGATTTTTGGTCTCCACAAGTTTTTCATAATTTTAACACTGAGGAAAAACGTATTGCAACCTTATTGGAAAATAATAAAATAATAAAAAATTACAAGCTTGTTTCATGACCGGACCAGTTTTCATTAAGTTTTTTTATTTTTTATTGTGTAATAACTTCCTTTAAATTGTGTTTCTCAATTTGATTTTTTACATACCTTTTAGCAATATCAATTTCTTGCACTTTGGTTGCATATCCATTCCCTTCAATTTATAGGATGGCTAGCTTTAAAATTCTCTAGAAAGTCTTGCCGTTAAATAAAGGGAATATTGTGTAATCCTCATATCTATTCCTGGAATTCCTTGCTCTTTGCAAAGCTCAAAGCCTCACACCACTACTATTGCATACTCAACCTCTTCTGCCAAACTAGACATGCAAGTGATAAACAAGAGCTTCTCTCCACAAAGTCTGCTCCCTTGTTCCGACAAATTCAAGGAACTTCTCTTTTTTTCTCAAAGATTTTTTGCTTATGCTTTGGTCTGGTTGAGCAGGCGACTGGGATTTGCCTTGCTTACGAACTTCTCTGGCACAGGTTAAATTTCGCTTCTAACTAGAGAATACTGAAAGAGTTTGCATGGCAGAGCGCAACCCAGAATTCGTCGAGAAAGCTCTCGACGCTGTCAACAGCGACAAGAACAAGAAAGTAATCGTCCTGTTTAGCATTGGAGGAACTCTCCTCACGTAGGGCCTAAAGCAAAGAAGTTCAAGGATCCCGAGCGCTTCTTTGGATGCCAGTCGAGGTACTCTCGTCCGATCTCGCGTCAAAACCTCTCAGAAAGAAACTCTCCTTACAGATCATTGAAAGCGGCATATGAACTCCAAAAAGCAGGATTCACAAACGTTTTCCACCTCCAGGGTCGATTTAACGAATAGATCCATCACGATCTTCCCACCTCTGGAACCACAATAGACTAAAACTTACCAGGTATCCGCGCAAGAGCAAACATCATTCTCAAAACCATGCAGCCTCTGCATGTCACGTACTGTGATCTTCCTCTTCACCACGCTGGAGATCATCTTCGCAGAAGGATGGCAGTCACCGCACATCCTCAAGTTATTCACGAGCGAGATCTCATGGTCTTCTCACACAGCGTGTACGCGATTGCAAGCTTCTCACTGTGAACACCGCTGCCACACTTGCTCCATCCCAAGTTCTCGTGTTTATACCCATGATCTCTCTCTCCAGCAGCTTCGTCAACCTGGCAACTTCCTTCCGAACTTTCTTGATGCTCGGATGCGCAGTGTCTCCCACTCGAAACTTGTGCGTGATGCCATCGATCTGGATCAGGCTCTCGGCCTCGAGCTTGTGGAGACCTTTGTCTCTCACCATCTTCTTCAATCCGGCAATGTCGTTCGCTCTCCCGGTTTGGCTGTAGATCTCCACGAGGATCTTGTACGGTGAAACGTTCTCTGGATCCAAAACAAACAATCTCTCTGCGCAAAGCTTGCCATTCTCCCCGTCCAAGTGCCTCCGGCAGCAAGCAAGTAGAGTCATCCATCTTCCACATTATGTAATCATCAAATTCCACGACACAACGCTGTTTTCGGGCATGCTATCGAACATTTTTCTGGCTCGCAGCATATCCCCTGCCTGGGCATATCCTTCTATCATCGTGTTCCACGTAGCGGCGTTTACATTCTCGTCATCGAGGCTCGCAAAGATCTCCCTGGCCTTGTCAAACCGCTCATTTGTTATGTAGGCATTGAGCAGCGTAGTCCAGGAGAACACATCCTTGACGGGCATCCTCTCGTAGAAAAACTCCTCCACTTTGCGCAGATTCCCCTTCTCGGCCGCGAGCGCGGCACGATGTTCCACGACACGGCATTCTTCTCCTTCTCCGGGATCTTCTCGAAAATCTTCCACACCTCTGGATCGCATCCATTCTTCTGCGTGACAACCTTGAGGATGATGTTCCAGGAGAAGATGTTGGGCGCCTGGATCTTCTCAAAGATCTCCAGCGCCGTGTCCGCGCTCCCGCAAGCTCCAAACATGTCCATGAGAAGATTGGCAATGTATCGATCGTTGCGATAGGCGCTGGCTTTCACCCGCGCATGGATCCGCTTGGCTTCCTCGAGGCCTCTCCTCTCTTGACAAGCCAGGCTCTGCTTCTTCAACGCGATCGATCCATCCTGTTCTTGGGCGATGCGAACTTCTCGATCACCACCGTGCTTGCTATCCAGAAACTCTCTCCCGTGTCTCCCCCAGTGTGTGTGCTGTTGTTCGCCATCCATTCCAGGTACACGTCCGGGAGAGAACCCAGCGCTTGGCCTTTGTACTTCCCGAAGTGAGAACCATGGATCCAACTTTGCGAGAACTCTGCGGAGCAAAAACGTTGCTGCCACCTTCTTGAGTGCTCGAGCTTTCTCCTTCTTTTCTTTCTGATAGAACTTGCCTGGCCAAGCCATTCCAGTGGTTGTCTAGCTCCTGTGCCATCCATTGCAGATAGTTCGCTGGAAGAGAACCGAGAGGCTGGCCTTTGTATCTTCCAAATGTTAACACTTTTGGTAGCCATTATCGCTGCAAAAACGTAAACCACCAGGCCTTTTGTCTCTCTGGAACGCAAGCGAAAAATTGTAGAAAAAAGATCACCTTTTCTACAAACGAGGCATCAGTGTGGCCAACTTTTTTAGCCTCTCTGGCCGCGTCTCCAAGTCCCCACATTTGCAATATCATTGGAATCGTGCCAAGTGAAAACTATCTGTAAGTTCGAAGAAAAAAGAATAACAAACAGTGGGCTCATAGCACAGAACGAAGAGTGTGAATTTAACGCACGTCTCCGATCGCAACTTTGTCTCCTTCGTGAATTCCTCTACTTTTCAGCTCGGCGTTTATCCCGCTGCACTCTAAGACCCGCTCGAATCGTTGCAGGGACTCGAAATACTTGCGAGTCGTGTAAGAACTGAATGGGAAGATAAAAGATGTAAGCTTACTCCCAGTTAGTCATTTGCGTGAAGCGCTCCACACCAGAACCGTAAATGTGCCACAAGTCTGATTCTGGGTCGACGTCCACCTTAAATTCTCCAATGGGACTACTTCGCTCCTTTTTCACCATCGAAGCTACGTCGTTCGAGATCGACACGGGTTCTTCTGCAAGAATAGTAGAGAAAGAGTTCCACAGTCGAGTTAAAAGTAGTGTTTCATACTTACCAACTGGGACTGTCTGTAGAAGCTTATACGCATGACGTACAACTTGCGGCGCTCATGGAACGAACCTCCACTCCACGAGACTCCATAGCTTTCCGGAAACTTTCCCAGCGTTCGGCAGCCTCTGGGACATCCATCTTGTTGGAGCAAAGGCGAGGATCAAACAGTTCCAGCTCCAGTCACTGCATCGTAGTCGAATTCTGGCAGTCGTACCGTCTATAACATGAATCTGGTTCTCCAAAGAAACTTTTAGCACGCAGGTAAGTTTAAAACAAAAAGCTTACCAGGACTCGACAGCGCTCAGTGGCGTAAAAATTCGTGACCGAGGCCGTATCCAGCGTGAGCACCTTCGAGAAGCCCGGGCAAGTCGGCTATAACCATCGTTGCATCGAAGTCCAGCGACACCACTCCAAGGTTGGGTAGTAGTGTCGTAAATGGATACGCAGCAATGGCGGGACGAGCAGCACTGATAGCACTTAGTAGCGTGCTCTTTCCAGCGTTTGGAACACCTATAATTCCCACGTCTGCCACAAGTTTAAGCTCCAGATCGACCCACCTGGAAAGATCACAGCTCAAACAAATCAAGACAGGAAGAACAAAAAACAAAAACTGAAGAACAAACCATCACGCTTGAAGAGAGGGGATTGAGAACCAACATTTCGGCTCCTTCACCATTGCCACCATCCCCAGCTTTGACGTAAATCTTTGCTCGGTCGAAGCACCTCATCACAGCAGGCACGCCTTTCTTGTTCCTGCTCGATCTTCCTTGTCACTCGTAGAAACATCTGTGGAAGAGTCCTCCTCTTCGTTCCAGACTTCCATCTTATCTCCACGCGGTCGTCATCCTTCGATCCCAAGCTTCGAGCGATTCTCAAAAATGGAACGCTCTCCATGCATCTTCCTGAGCTCCGAGAGCTCCTCCTCAGCTTCAGCCAGTAGCTGACGCTCCTCCTCGGCGGTCATTGGGCTCAAGTCGCCTCCCAAACTTCCACTCTCTCGTCTTCCTTCTCTTCTTTCTCTTCGTCCTCGTCCAATGGTCGAACTTTCCCTTTGAGAAACTCTGGAAGAAAATTTCTCACGCTGCAAAGTTTCCTTTGCTCCCAGATTGGATGACAAATCTTTCTTCTTCTCTAGCACAGCCACGCTGCATCCGGCAGCATACTCCTCTAGCAGAGCCAACGCAGCCGTCGTGTATGCAGCGAAATCGTCCTCCACATTCTTCTTCCTGGATTTGTTCTCGGATGCCAAAACAATGGCGCTAGACCATCTTTCTGGCCCGCATTCTCCTGTAATCTCTGCCCTGCAGCATACCTGGAGGCCGCAGCTTGCAAGGGATTGCAAGGGGCAGGAGCTTCCATTGAATTTTAGGGTTCTTCACCATCCAAATAAACGTACTAATATCAAAAGAATTTTCTTTAAAAAAACTTTCAATTGTGTTTAAATTTCTGCACAAGTGTTCTTTGTACATGTTCCATACAAACAAACATTGTAGATATTAAATGTGTATCTGTGTTTTCTCTACTTGAATAATTGTGACCTTTTTCGAATTGAAAACCATTTAAATGTTTGTCTTTATTCAAAACACAAATGTATCAGCCTTTTTACTCTGAGCATGCACATGAAATTTTACTTCATCCAAAACTGACTGCAATGGGACTGGTGACCATATACTTCCCGAAAACATCATTATCAATGTTTGAGTCGTCCTCCACTCTAAATATCACCTGGAATGCTTTCGTCTCGCCGTTGTGCTTGAACCGCAGCACAGATGGATGAACCGACACCGACACACTCTCTGGTGCTTCGATAGCTGCCGTGTAGTTCGTCGACTTTGCTGCGGCTTAAATTGGAGATGGCAATGGATGGACAGTTGAGGTCTGTGGGATTGTCGGGACACTTAGCGGCAGTTTGCGTGAGGATCTGAAGTTTCGTCTGGTTGTACCCCAGACCACAGAGATATCCAATGGAGTCTTGCTCGTCGGCATCATATACTAGGCTAGGGTGTGCAGCGGCATTTGGATTTACATGCCCTCCACCAGAATCAAAGGGTGATGCTTGATTGATTCATCAAGATTATCAAACCACTAACCTGTTTTGTAAGGTGTTAAGAATAATATGTATATCACTTTTTTTCAAGTTGTACATTACCTGTTGTTGCTGTGGCTGATTTGATTGCAGCTGGACTCCAGGTTGGATAATAGGACTTTAGTAGCGCGACAATCCCACTTACATGAGGGCAAGACATAGAGGTTCCAGAAACAAGTTTGTATGGTACTTTAGAGTTATTGAATTGTCTGTATGCTGCTAAAATGTGTACTCCTGGAGCTGTAATATCAGGCTGAAAGAACAAAAGTCTCAAAATAACTAACAAAATAACACTAAAAATATACCGTGAGTATGTCTGGATCAACCAGGTTGGGACCAGAGGATGAAAATGCTGCCATGAGAGGAGCAGGCTTTTGATTTGTCAAGGAAATCTGATGTTTTTATCTGTGCTACAGGAATCCTGGCAGGCACAAAAGGTTAAATAAAATACAAAACACAAACATTTTTACCTATATACGAAAAGTTGGCTTCTCCAGCTTTTTCATCAACAAGAACTGAAGGAAGAAACTCATTTCCAGTATCTTGATCAACTTCAGTTGAGTTGCAAAAGATAATCCCAGCTCCACCAGCACTAAAAACTACGAAAGATTGGAACGCTGGATGCATCCGCCCTCTCAAACATGCCGTTGGGATCCAAAGACCCAATATCATCTTAACTCGCAGGATGATTGCTTTACCTGGCTGAAAAGCTCTAAAACCCTGGAAACCATTTCAAATTAGAATTCCGAAATGATTCATTGTTGCCAAGGAAAAGGTCTCCAAAGTAGGCTCGATCAAGAGTGGTTGCTCCAACAGTAATGATCTAGGGTGCTACATTTTCCACCGAGCCAGGTCCCAGAATTTGGTGACTGTTTCCAGCGGAAGCCACCACCACAATGCCTTTCTGCATGGCATGGAACGCTCCAATGGACGTAGAATCTAGGAAGTAATCACCCGCTGGATGCACTGAGAACGTGAGCGTCTGGGCACCCGACAGTGTCATCCGTGATGTTTCTCCAGCATATCTTGTAGATTGCGTCTGGAGCGCCACCTTTTGCAGTGCCTTTTGCGTACCCAAGCCAGTTTGCGTTTCTCACGAATCGGCCTCCGGCAGTGGAAGCCGTGTGAGTTCCATGGCCATTAACATGGAGAAAGAATTTCTCGGTGTGCTTTTGCATCCTGTAGGCAGTGAGAAAGGAATCTGGCACCGATAAGTTTCCTGGAAGATCACAAATTAACGAGTTAGCATGTAGCTAGAATTTATGTGGTTTCTTATATTTTACTTGTTGCAGTGAGAAGCGTTAAATTTCTCTCCAGTTTCGCATGTTCCTTTCCATCTTTTGGGGATTGATTCCTTGCCGTGATCCAAAAAACTCTCGGACTCCGGCCACACTCCTAGAAAAACGAATATTATTACAAAAAAGAAAAGAAGGAAGAGGGAATTACATGAATCAAAGACACCGACAATAACGTCTTTGCCATATTTTGTGTTGTGCCATAGCCAAGATGATTCAGTAGATTCGCTAGCACCAAACAAGGAGTTCTCTCCACTTCAATAGAGGCCGAGAAACTCTCATGAGTTTGTGGTGTGGATCCTGCGGATTTTATTGGGAAAGATAGACAACACATTTGGAACGCCTGCAATTGTGGGAAGAAAAGAAAAAAGAAAGAAGGATAGACTTTGGAATAAATTTATGTTTACTGGAAATTTTAGCAGCTTGTTCTTCTGTTAGTCGAGCTGAGAAGCCACTGAATCCATGCCTCAGTGATTCTCTAGCAGCCTCGTCACTGGTATAAACGAATTTGGATGAAGTTTTCTTTTAATGATCAAAGTTTTACCTTCCTAGAACATCCCGAAGGAGTGCGTGATGGGAGCTACTGGATGAAGGGATTTATCGACATTCCCCAAATAAACAATGCGAGTGTCTCCATGATCTCGTTCCTGGAGAATCAAAGCCATGGGCTAACACTACGAACACAGAAGGCAGGCTTAAAACCTGGCAGTTAAACTCAAGAAGAAAGTATAGAATGATGGAGTGCGCCATGAAACCTTTAAAGTAGTGTGTTGTCATTTATATTAGAGACGCGGAGTGAATGTGTGTAATGCTGATGCAAAGCTCATACCGGGTCACCTTTTTTTTATTGTACGATGAATTCAGAGGAAATTGTCAATGCTCGTGATGTTAATAGAGAACATTGCATTTATCCAAAGGTCGTCAAAGTTGATAAATATGATTGACTCCTGAGCTACAGATCTTTTCACGAGATATTATTAAGATCATGCAAAAGGTTTAAACAGTGGTTTCAGGCTTGTGATAGGATACTTTCCATTGCTCATCACAGTCAAATGGAGTTGCAAGAGCTAAGGATGAACTCTTGATCTGTTCTTTCTCAGTAATTGGCAACTCTTATGAAAGAAGAGGTTTCATTTATAAGGTACTGATCTAGATAGGACAGGTAATATACAATAATCATAATAATGATATTTTGTCAACACAACTTGTGTAGACTGACTTCTTGGACTGGTAAGTACCCTGAACCTGATGGAAGACCTGTGCTCTTAAGCTCATTTGTTAATGAGGATTTGTCGAAAGGAACAGGAAGCTTGACTAATCTACTATGAAAGCGAAAAGATGCCTTTATATAGTTTACGTGACAAAGTAAATGCATTGTTCAATCTCACTGTGACCCTCTTGAGTTCATATGTTTTCTTGAATTTGTATGAGCTTCTGCAATTAGCTTTGAGAATCCTCCTTCTTGTCAAGTATGCTCCTCTCACTTCTTCTGCCTGCAACAGCACTACTCCTACTTCTCGCGCATTCCTGTCATGGGTCCGACGACGATCATTTCTATCTCGACCTCCCGTCCAGGGAGGGTTTTGCATGCCCCGAAGTGAACAGCTTTGTCAACGAATTCGATCCGCTCTATAGATGGTCTCTGCGTTCTTCCCTCGCCAGCGTCCTCTCCACGACAACTGGCGTCGACGTCGAGCTCGCCAATTCTGCCTACCAGCAAGCTAGTGCATGGAGAGTGATCAGCAACTCGACGAGTGATGGGGGAGCCAACAAGCTGTATGCCTCGGCCGAGCCCCACATAGCAGGCGGTCACATGAAGCAGCACCGGCGCAACTGGCAGTGGAGGATGCAAGTGGACTGGGGTATCAGCATTCGCATGTGCCTATCCATCGGTGGTAGCCAGAGCAATCGGTCATGCCTCTGGACTACTGCCATCCTTTCGATGGAAAACGAGGTGGATCTCAGCCTGCTCCTTGTTGGTGTACCTTACAGGGCTGCTACTGCACCTAGCATTGAACCAGATCTGAAGAACATGCAGCATAGCACAGCAGGATTCTACCTTTCCAACTACGCCAGCAATGCAAGGACGGACTTCACCAAGTACCAGAAGCTCAACTCCTCGAGCCACTATTATGTTACGAACACTAACGATGTACCAAAGTGTGGGTTTGCACCATCTTACTACAGCAACGACGCCGCAGTTTACCTCGGGTTTCCTACCCTCCAATGCGGCTGTTCCAATTCCTCCACCAAGGTATGTGTTGTGGTCACCAAGAACATGGACACCAGTAGGTGGGGACCATTCGACTATCGTTCCCCTTGCAATTTGCTAAAGTCTTACTGGGCTTGGAACGCCGGTGGAACCAATTGGCTTGTTCTTAACACACACAACACCTCCTCTGACAAGCCTGCACCATTTATTGCAACCTTTAAGGGGAATGTCTCTTTTGGGTATGCCCTCACCACCGTCACAGCGGATAACTTGCAAGCCATGGTGAACACAACATCCTGTGTCGAAGCATTGATGCAGCAGTCACCGGTGCCATCCAGTGTGGAGGTTCAGAACAGGTGCAGTACCAATCAGCTGGTACTGAGCATTGAAGATGGTGAGTACTACCTGAACAAGATGCGACAATTTCTCTGGGCTCCCACTCCCCGGGAGAACAAGATCAGTACCCCCTGTTCAGAAGATCTGCCTATGGGACAGCTCGAGTTCAAGGACAAGCTATGTGTGAGCAAGCTGGACACTGCAATCAGCACAGAGATCAAGCTCATGATTGAGTCCATGTTACAGCTCAGAGACGTCAAGTTCAAGCAGAACAAGCTGTGGAAAGACGGATCAAACAACAGAAACCAAGTCTATACCGGGATTTTGTCAGCGATTGTGTCCTTCCTGGGAACATGTTTCTTGGCAACGAGTCACAAGTTGCAAGATATCGAAGAGTCGTTTCAGAATTTCTGGAACAGGGGTGGCGCAGTAGGGGACTCCAACACTGACGACCAGGCTGCTCAGTCGAGCAGTAAATCAGTTTTTTCAAGCCAGGACCCCATCTTTTGGGTTAAGTTTCTTTATAGAACACTCCTGGTGCTCAGTTTTGCAGGTAACCTATTCTTGCCAAGTTGATTCACTAAGTTCACATTCTGTGCAGTTTTACTAGCATATACAGCATATAGCAGCGTGGAAAGCGTAGAGAAGGACCGGGACATGTTGCAGGCGCAAACTGTACCTCAGGTCCTCAGTGATGGTAGTGTGGTGTTGCTCACTACCACGGCTACCTACGAGGTAAAACCCATATGGGCTAGTTTGTATGTCATTTCTGTTCTTACTGTGCTGGCCATGATAATCACACTGGTCATTACATGGCGCAAACTTAAAAAGTTGACAGTGAAAATGGAGTGATCAGCTAATTAATCATTGAAGCGTACTGAAGAACCCTAACCTGCAAGAAAGATTAAAGATTGCCAGTCTAAATCTAGGAAGATATGACCCTTCTGCAACGGCTGTGCTCAAGACTCCTCAAGAGAGCAAGGAATCAAAATGTTGTTTGTTTCATTTTTAGACTTTCTTTAATCTTTTTAAGTGTGATATTGCATACTCAACCTCTTCTGCCAAACTAGACATGCAAGTGATAAACAAGAGCTTCTCCCCACAAAGTCTGCTCCCTTGTTCCAACAAATTCAAGGAAACGATCTCAAAGCAAATGCCAGGTTTCCTGCTTCTCTTTTTTTCTCAAAGATTTTTTGCTTATGCTTTGGTCTGGTTGAGCAGGCAACTGGGATTTGCCTTGCTTACGAACTTCTCCGGCACAGGTTAAATTTCCCCCTCGCTTCTAACTAGAGAATACTGAAAGAGTTTGCATGGCAGAGCGCAACCCAGAATTCGCCGAGAAAGCTCTCGACGCTGTCAACAGCGACAAGAACACGAAAGTAATCGTCCTGTGCAGCATTGGAGGAACTCTCCTCACGTAGGGCCTAAAGCAAAGAAGTTCAAGGATCCCGAGCGCTTCTTTGGATGTCAGTCGAGGTACTCTCGTCCGATCTTGCGTCAAAACCTCTCAGAAAGAAACTCTCCTTACAGATCATTGAAAGCGGCATATGAACTCCAAAAAGCAGGATTCACAAACGTTTTCCACCTCCAGGGTGGATTTAACGAATGGATCCATCACGATCTTCCCACCTCTGGAACCACAATAGACTAAAACTTACCAGGTATCCGCGCAAGAGCAAACATCATTCTCAAAACCATGCAGCCTTTGCATGTCACGTACCGTGATCTTCCTCTTCACCACGCTGGAGATCATCTTTGCAGAAGTATGGTAGTCACCGCACATCCTCAAGTTATTCACGAGCGAGATCTCACGGCTCTTCTCACACAGTGCGTACGCGATTGCAAGCTTCTCACTGTGAACACCGCCTCCACACTTGCTCCATCCCAAGTTCTCGTGTTTATACCCATGATCTCTCTCCATCAGCTTCGTCAACCTGGCAACTTCCTTGCGAACTTTCTTGATGCTCGGATGCGCAGTGTTCCCACTCGAAACTTGTGCGTGATGCCATCGATCTGGATCAGGCTCTCGGCCTCGAGCTTGTGGAGACCTTTGTCTCTCACCATCTTCTTCAATCCAGCAATGTCGTTCTCTCTCCCGGTTTGGCTGTAGATCTCCACGAGGATCTTGTACGGTGAAACGTTCTCTGGATCCAAAACAAACAATCTCTCTGCGCAAAGCTTGCCATTCTCCGTGTCCAAGTGCCTCCGGCAGCAAGCAAGTAGAGTCATCCACACTCGAGCATCAGCTTCGAAAGGCATGCTACAATGAGCTCTCTTGCGTCTTCCATCTTCTTTGCGGCTCCGAAAGCTCCAACCATGCAGTCGTAGTGATCCAAGTTCCCAGACGATCCATGCGCCAGGATCATGATGTTCTTTGTCGCGGCGTCAACCTTGTCTCCAACTTGCTCGAACAGCGCATTTGCCTCGTGCATGTATCCTCTGTGTGGAACATGGCATTCCTCGTGATCGCACCCGGATCCGGCGTTTGGTCGTAAACTTCCCTCGCTCGATCGAGATTCCCGGCCTTTGCATGGGCATCCAGCAGCATCGTCCAGTGCACAATAGTCTTTTCAAACGGCATCTTCTGCAGGATCTCCTCCGAATCATGGGTTGTCCCTGCATGGCAGTGTGCTTGCAGCAAACACGTCCACGAAGCGCCATCTTTCTTTGGCATCTCAGCAAACAAGGTTTTTGCTTCCTGCAGATGCCCGTTGTGGGCATATACAGCAAGCATCGCATTCGAAGTCACCTGGTTTTTCTCCTTCACTTTTTCAAAAAAGTTTCTTGCTTCTTTCACATTATGTAATCATCAAATTCCACGACACAACGCTGTTTTCGGGCATGCTATCGAACATTTTTCTGGCTTGCAGCATATCCTCTGCCTGGGCATATCCTTCTATCATCGTGTTCCACGTAGCGGCGTTTACATTCTCGTCATCGAGGCTCACAAAGATCTCCCTGGCCTTGTCAAACCGCCCATTTGTTATGTAGGCATTGAGTAGTGTAGTCCAGGAGAACACATCCTTGACGGGCATCCTCTCGTAGAAAAACTCCTCCACTTTGCGCAAATTCCCCTTCTCGGCCGCGAGCGCGGCGAGGATGATGTTCCACGACACGGCATTCTTCTCCTTCTCCGGGATCTTCTCGAAAATCTTCCACGCCTCTGGATCGCATCCATTCTTCTGCGTGACAACCTTGAGGATGATGTTCCAGGAGAAGATGTTGGGCGCCTGGATCTTCTCAAAGATCTCCAGCGCCGTGTCCGCGCTCCCGCAAGCTCCAAACATGTCCATGAGAAGATTGGCGATGTATCGATCGTCGCGATAGGCGCTGGCTTTCACCCGCGCGTGGATCCGCTTAGCTTCCTCGAGGCCTCTCCTCTCTTGACAAGCCAGGATCTGCTTCTTCAACGCGATCGATCCATCCTGTTCTTGGGCGATGCGAACTTCTCGATCACCACCGTGCTTGCTATCCAGAAACTCTCTCCCGTGTCTCCCCCAGTGTGTGTGCTGTTGTTCGCCATCCATTCCAGGTACACGTCCGGGAGAGAACCCAGCGCTTGGCCTTTGTACTTCCCGAAGTGAGAACCATGGATCCAACTTTGCGAGAACTCTGCGGAGCAGAAACGTTCTTCTTGAGTGCTCGAGCTTTCTCCTTCTTTTCTTTCTGATAGAACTTGCCTGGCCAAGCCATTCCAGTGGTTGTCTAGCTCCTGTGTCATCCATTGCAGATAGTTCGCTGGAAGAAAACCGAGAGGCTGGCCTTTGTATCTTCCAAATGTTAACACCTTTGGCTGCAAAAACGTAAACCACCAGGCCTTTTATGTCTCTCTGGAACGCAAGCGAAAAATTGTAGATAAAAATATCACCTTTTCTACAAACGAGGCATCAGTGTGTGGCCTCTCTGGCCGCGTCTCCAAGTCCCCACATTTGCAACATCATTGGAATCGTGCCAAGTGAAAACTATCTGTAAGTTCGAAGAAAAAAGAAAAACAAACATAGCACAGAACGAAGAGTGTGAATTTAACGTACGTCTCTGATCGCAACTTTGTCTCCTTCGTGAATTCCTCTACTTTTCAGCTCGGCGTTTATCCCGCTGCATTCTAAGACCCGCTCGAATCGTTGCAAGGACTCGAAATACTTGCGAGTCGTGTAAGAGCTGTAATACTCGAAAGAATGGGAAGATAAAAGATGTAAGCTTACTCCCAGTTAGTCATTTGCGTGAAGCGCTCCACACCAGAACCGTAAATGTGCCACAAGTCTGATTCTGGGTCGACGTCCACCTTAAATTCTCCAATGGGACTACTTCGCTCCTTTTTCACCATCGAAGCTACGTCGTTCGAGATCGACACGGGTTCTTCTGCAAGAATAGTAGAGAAAGAGTTCCACAGTCGAGTTAAAAGTAGTGTTTCATACTTACCAACTGGGACTGTCTGTAGAAGCTTATACGCATGACGTACAACTTGCGGCGCTCACGGAACGAACCTCCACTCCACGAGACTCCATAGCTTTCCGGAAACTTTCCCAGCGTTCGGCAGCCTCTGGGACATCCATCTTGTTGGGGCAAAGGCGAGGATCAAACAGTTCCAGCTCCAGTCACTGCATCGTACTCGAATTCTGGCAGTCGTACCGTCTATAACATGAATCTGGTTTTCCAAAGAAACTTTTAGCACGCAGGAAAGTTTAAAACAAAAAGCTTACCAGGACTCGAGTGTGGCGTAAAAATTCGTGACCGAGGCCGCATCCAGCGTGAGCACCTTCGAGAAGCCCGGGCAAGTCCGCTATAACCATCGTTGCATCGAAGTCCAGCGACACCACACTAAGGTTGGGTAGTAGTGTCGTAAATGGATACGCAGCAATGGAGGGACGAGCAGCACGGATAGCACTTAGTAGCGTGCTCTTTCCAGCGTTTGGAACACCTATAATTCCCACGTCCGCCACAAGTTTAAGCTCCAGATTGACCCACCTGGAAAGATCACAACTCAAAAGATCAGAGAAAGTCGAGAGACATAAATCAAGACAGGGAGAACAAAAAACAAAAACTGAAGAACAAGTCTCTTTGTTTTGAGAAATCTAAAAAATCTTATTTAGCTTTTGTTTGTCTTGTAAGTGTTTTTTGGAAGAAAACTAGAGCTAGCTCTAGGGTCACACCTTGAAGCTGTTGAGAGCATTAAAAGTATCATATTCCGAATGGATGAAAACAAAGAAGCATCACTTTTTAAGACAAAAGTGAAAGGGTAAGTAATTATATCCATCTTTGACAACACACAGCAATGATAGATGAAAGAAATCAAAAGAAAGTTTCCATTTCAATCCAACTTACCATGAACTCTTTATAGTGGAAATAATAAGGATTGATGAGCTCCTTGCAAATTCCATTGTTGTGGGTAACTGCCTGCATTCCCTTATTAGAAAAGTTAACGAATGTGAAACAATGAATAATATGAAGAAATGAAAGCAGCAAAAAATAAAACATTAGTCACCTATGACCTAAATAAGATTTGTCAGAAAACACCTTCAAGCTTCTAAAATAGGAAAATTAATAACTTCAATGTCAAAGATAAGCATCAAGACCATTAAACTCTACCAATGCTAGTACCTCCATCTAAGACTAATATTTTTGAACAACTAATAAAAATCTCTGCACAAACCAAAGAAATAAAACCATAAGTTCATCACAAATATAACTTCTCAACAATTGTGAGAATCCTCTACATTCTTGGGGCAAATGAAAAACCTAAAGGCAAACAATACTTACACAATGTCTAGGATCCAAATTGCACTAGGGCTTTACCATGTGATTCAAAAATAAAAATCTCTTTATCAATACAAGTTGCTGGGGGTATGGCCAGTTGTACAGACTCCACAAACACATGAAGAACAAAGTAGCCCTTCTTCAAGCCCTATAAAACACTTCCACTCACCATTGTATTAATGGATGCTAAACTGCCATAGCACTCAGGCATAGCAGTGATACTAATGGGTGGGATGAACAATCCAGTTTAGCTCCACCACCATTGCCACCCCCATCTCCACAATTGTCCAAGGCAGATCATGATAGTACTAATTTCTATGGTAATTTACCAAAATTTTTATTTTTAATTGCGTGTTAAATTTTTGCTCTCCACCAATTTTTCATAATTCTCAGGCTAAGGAAAAACTTATTGCAACCTTATCAGAATAAAATAATATAAAATAAAGCTTCTCCAGACCAGTTTTAGTTAGGTTTTTTTAATTTTTATTGTATACTTGCTTTAAATTGTTTTTCTCAATTTGATTTTCTACATACCTTTTAGCAATATCAATTTCTTAAATTTATAGCGATGGCTAGCTTTAAAATTCTTCAGCCGTTATATTGCAGGAGGGAGATCTGCTTCATACAAAGAATGCCTGACTAGGACATGATTAATGCAAGGAAATACAAACATGAAAAGTGATTACCTCCAAGACAGATCCATGTGCCATTCTTTGATACAACCTTCATCTCCAGCAGTGACCAAAGAAAGAGGTCCTGTTATCAAAAGGCATCTCATTGTGGCAGTTGCAAAAAGTTCAGCCTTCAGATCACGTTCAGTAAGAGAAAGCACCCGCACTATGTGCGACTGACTGGGAAGCTCGGGGCTATGAACAGCAAAAGTTCCCAGCAACAGAAGGTTGTTGCTGTCTGGAGTGAGTTGAATTCCAACTCCGCTTGCAGCTGTAAGAATAATGTAAGTCATATGTACCAAGACGAAAGAAACACAGAACAAACCTTCAAAGAGTCTGCTCCAAAATTTTTGTAAGAATCCAGTGAAAAGGACTGTAGCAACATTGCCTCCGATAGCAAGTTGTTATCAAGAGAAACACAGCATACATATAGTTGTACACTGTGCTTCCCTAGAGGACCACAAGAGACGCAGAATCCACCTCCTGACTCCTTGCGTTGAGTGCCACGCAAAGAACTGAAAGTTCGTGCTCAAGGTGGAGGACGAGGACGAGGACGAGGAGCTGTTTGGCTTCTTCAAGGAGCAGCTGATTCAAGGGGGAGAGGCGGAGGTGGCTGCGCATGTGAGGAGGCACTGGACGCACAAGTCTTGTGATCCCCAGGTGCTGTTCGAGGAGGAGATGGACGCTTCGTGCGGTTGTGGCATGCGGGGTGTGCAGATTGCTCTGGAGAGGCTGTGTGGCAAAATGCAGAAGCTGGGGATTGTTGATGAGGTTGTGTGCATGACCCCGCCTTGGAGCAGGACATCAAGCTCTTGTTCTTCTTCAGACGAAGAAGGCGATTGATCACTTCGGCCAGATGATCAAGAGAGGCAGCAACACGGTGATTTACAACTCCCTGGGACAGATGGACGAGGCGATGAACCGGATGGCTGAGACTGGAAGCTCTCCGGACGTACACCACCCTCATGAACGGCTTCTGCAAGCTGACAAGGTTGGACGATGCGTACGATCTTCTCAACCAGATGATCGCAGGGGGCTGTGCTGAATTTCACGACCTTGATGCTGTGCATGTTTTCGGTGAGACGAGGAGAAGCTGCTTATCTACACTCTATACCATTCTCTGCAGACTAAACCAGTTGGGGACCTGGAACTTGAAGAAGACTGGATGTGGTGTTGTATACCACTGCTATCGATGGAGAGAGAAGAAAGTCGGCGAGTGCGCCAAACTCTATAACGTATTCCACGCTGATTAATGGCCGGTATGCTTGATTGAGCTCGTGGCTTTATGGAGAAGGGCTGTGTTCTCGAGCTAGCTCTCTCATGGTATATGCACACATAAATATTATTTAATATCTATTTTTGTGCATTATAATTTATAAAGAAGTCAAATTTCATATAAATATTTTATTATTTTGTGAGTACTTATATTTATATTATATTATAAGTGTTGAGAATATAAATTTAAATATTTAATTGGAAATTTTATGTATTTTCTTTAAAGTTATAAACAAAATTTTTCTTTTGTGTATGTACATGTAGGTTTTATGTTTGGACTTTGCAAATTTTTTATATGTACAATTATCTAATTTTTTATTGAAATAATACATATACTTTATAGTGCAAACCACTTAGTGTTGATACAATCATATAGCTTTTAAAATGAGTTAATTTTAGCATTTTACTTGTAATGAATTTATTCTTAATATATTATAGTTCTAGTATAATAATAAACACTATTAAGTAAATACTTAATAATAATGAACTTAAAATGTTCACAATTTCCTTTTAATTTGTTAAAATATTTTGTTTTCTTTCAGCTTACAGGGACTATATAATACTTTGTTTTTAAGTTTTCCCCTTGGTTTGAGCATGGCTAAATCCTTCTTTTCATGTGTTTAAATTTAAGCTGCAAGCCAGCTTAAACAGCTGCAGAATACAGAAGCATGTCTTGGGCCACACATCCACTTCACCGATTCTTTCATTAGCTAGAGCTCCAACTGGCCAGCCCCAGGATGTGGCAGCTAAGCTGGCTGAGCTAAACGAATTTTCATGGACCCATGATTTCACTTGTAAATCATGTCTTATGTGATTTCTTACAGAGCCAGCAATCTGTTTGGATCTTCAGGAGAAAGACTGTTTGTGAGCTCCAAGGCAGGAAAAGCTAAGTCTCTGGGAAGCATTTAGAAGACTTGGTTGTAAAGTGTGGAGACTGCCACGACGGAATGGAGCTGAATGAATACTTGAAATTCTGAGTGGCATCTACCAGGAAAGAAGCTCCATCTTTATTTGAAAGCTTCCACATACACCGTCCATGAGTCCTGGTGGCCCCTGGGAAGAATGGCTAAGGTGAAGAAGCTCTGGAAACCATAGAGAGAAATGCATCTCCTCTTATATCACTGCTATTTTTGCTGCTGAAAATGAAGGTAGTGGTTTTCTTCTCCAGAATCTCAATGATCTTAGTGTTTGAATTGGATTCACAGATCTGCACTGGACGACCAAGTTACCCTAGCAATATGGTGCCCGATTTTGGAGAAGAAAACTACTACCTTCATTTTCAGCAGCAAAAGTAGCAGTGATGAGCAGGGATAAAGGGAGCAATGCAAGCACAAGCTTTCGAGAAGGAGCCATTTTTGCTGCTTATCTTTTGGTCGACCCTCTTTCCTCATGGTCATCTACATAAGCAGCTAGCTATGACCATTCAGTGACCAACACTTCGCATTCTAAAGTCTGTGCGAGCATTTGTGAGAGTTTGTGCCCATATGGAGCTTTATCTATGGGAGGCAGCCTCCTTTGCTTTCCCATTTTTTCTGCTAATCTAGAGAGCTGTGATTCTCAATACAGATATGATTCCAAGCATGTTTGCTTTGACACCATAGGTAAAGACTTGTTCGATTAGCAAGGAAGAATGAATGCTTTGGAGCTGCTTGTAACTCTTGGCTTCCAAATAAACTGAGAGCAACAGCCTCGTCAAGATGCCCCATGGGACTTATATGTGCATGATACTGGTCCAAGACACAATGGTGTGTTGGTGAATATTACAAAGCATCGGACCGGGCTTTCCATACAATGCAAGCCCTGTGTTCCAGGAGATCACCTTTTGCTGAGCATCGGAAAGAAAGAGTGTATTTGCGACCTCCAGATGCCCGTTTAAGGCAAATGTAGTAATCGTTACATTATGCAATCGATCTGACCAAATCGGTGGCGTCTTTGATGCTCCGGCACTTCTGGCACACCTATAGAGGAGATTGAAACAAAGCGCTTGTATCAGAGGCTGGATGACACGGTGCATCCGCCTGCCGTGAGCCAAATCTCGCACAATCTCAGCTGCTGCTCGATCTAAAGAGCTCCTCTTGACTCACTAGCACAAATCAATGAGGATTCTCCAAATGCCACCATTCTTTCATCAGTCTCAACCAACCATCATGGCCCGTTTATACATCCTACTGTATCATGAAACTCTTTACCTAAAGATGGTTAATCTGCTCCGATCCATCTTGTCCAAAGACACCAAGAGAAGAAAGGAATAATCACAACACACAAGGAAAGGAGAACATGCAGTCGATCCAGCTATGCTCCACCAGATCAACTGTATCACACTCCTGACAGATATCGAACCTGTGACTTTCTGCTCCGGAAACAGACGCTCTATCCCCTGAGCTACAAGCGCTTTACAGAATAGCAGCACTTTCTAAGCCAGATTTTTGAATTTTATCCGGCACTTCTTGCGATGCTTTCCCGGCGATCAGCCGGTGCATTCCCAGATGCTTGAGCCCTAGATAATCTCTTGATAATTTCTTGACAAGCTGAGAGCATTGTAAGAGAACCCGTGTAGATTTTCCTGCCTTCTTCCACGTTTGAGCACGCGGAGATGGAGCTCACAAACAGCCGCTTGTGTGAGTTAAGCTTTTGGGTAGCTAGAGTCAACGCTATATTGACCACAAGAACATTCGCTAACATCTTTGACTCACCATTTGTGTTAGTTCGGCTGATGGTTTCTAGAATTTTGAGCCCCTTGGAACCGGTCCAGCCCGAAGAAGCATTGTAATCCGGACCTTGCAAATTTAGGGTTTAGGGTTTAGGGTAAACTCTACTGTCGGTGACAACGACAAAGATCATCCTTGGTGCTAGCTGTGGACGCGCCATTATCATTCTTTCTATCTATCAAGGCGCTAAAACCCTAAATCCCGGACTCCTAGAACGCCATGTACATGTCGCCCAGGAGATCCCATGCCTGCTTCGCTGACGTTGTGTGCCACACCTGCATTAGCTGCCTGTCCTCGAGATGGAGCAAAATATTCGCTCGCGCTCTCGCGTCCTTCTTCTCAAACTCTAGGCAATCTTCCTTCCTCGCGGATTCTCCCGGCCGGGCCTCCGATCCGCTCACCACGCCCCACTGATCGTGTAGCACCAGCAGCATTTGCATCCTCATCTTCCACACGTGGAATCTGGCGCCGCCGAATCGCCCCACCATGAGCATCGACCCTTGATCGTCCCTCATCGGCAGAAATCTTTCCTCCCTGTACGAGCTCTCATCTCTGTGCGGGATTTCTCGCGGAAATGCGGCCTCGGGAGCTTCCATCGGGAAGGATTTCGAGTTGTCAGCGACGGATTGGGGCGTGTCGAGGCTGGATTGCTCCTGGCGAACGACAGGGGGAGCTTGTCGCGCCGGATCATCGCAAACAAATCTCCAGCAGTACCTGGCAGGCACACAGACGAGAGATTTCGCAAGAAATTCACACGGCTTCGCGCGATTTCACCTCGGCGGCTCGGATTCCATTCCTCTCTTCATCGAATCCAAGAGTCGCAAAGAACAAGAGCCCTAAAACCAGTTAACATGCTACTCGCAATATTTGCTTGCTTTGTCTGGTGGCCTCTTTTCCCTTCCTCGTGCGATGGGATCGCCATAGCCGGGTTCCCTCTCTCACAGCTGCCCGTGGAGCTTCTTAGGGCAGTGAATCCTCCATTGCGATGCTTGCCGGGGATCAATCCGCGTGGATGCCGCCTTGTTCTTGCGGCCAATCCAGGGAGGGATGGGATTTCCTTGGAGGAGGGATGGATCGAGGAAGATTTGGACGCCGCGGGCCCAGCGATTCTCGCGTTCTTGGAGAGTGACTACAATGCCATTGCGATCGTGGAGCTGCCGAGGGATTCGCTGGCTGATTTCGCTGGGGCAAGATTGCTGCTGCTCGATCAAACAGGTAGGCTAGGGATTATCGCTTTCTTTGTTCATGGATTTCTTGTGTGACTCGAGTCGTGCTAGGATCTTTGTCAATGCAGGAGATCCTCACAGCGTTTACATGGAGGATTCGATGTGGGTTGGATACTACTGGGTAAAAGAAATTCTCTTTCCTTTCTTTGTTCTTAAGTAAGCTCATGTGTGTTCTTTAGGATGAGTTCTCCTCGCTTCCACCGATCATTCCGGAAGGTCCCATTGCAATTCTCGGATTGGTAAGAACTTTTCGTGTGCTTCTTCTTACAAAAAACTTTGTTTCAACAGGGAGGTGGCACTGCTGCTCGATTACTGCTCCATTTGTGGCCCCAGCGAGAATTGATAGGCTTTGAGATCGATGAACTCGTGAGTCTCTTGCATTTTCCATCCCCGGAGCTCACAGTTTTCATGCAGCTGATTGAAAAGGCGAGAGAATATCTTGGCCTGTCCGAGCTGGAAGGCGAGAATGAACACGGTGGCGGACTGAAAATTCATATCGGAGACGCTTTCTCGGATGCCAGTGATCCCGACGGAGGATTTGCAGGTCCTGTGACATGCAAGTTCTTTTATCATCTTTTCTCAGAAGCTGTGACTCTTGTCCAGGCATTGTCGTGGATTTGTTCTCAAACGCGGAGGTTTTGCCAGAGCTGCACGAGGTAGAAACAACGTTATGGTCTTTGTGATCTCATAGTTTTAGTTCTTCCAGGTGGAGACATGGTTGAAACTCCGGAAGAGATTGAAACCGGGAGGCCGGATCATGATCAACTTCGTGGAGAAAAGGAAGCTCCATGGAGATCAAAACAAGCACAACATTCTACGTGCAATGTCTAAAGCATTTCCAGGCGAGGTAAAGCTTTCTCTTTGTTTTTCTCCTCTAGAGTTTGGAAACAAAACTCTCTCCAGGTGAACTGGCGAAAGATTGATCGAATTAACAACAAAATGGCTTTCACGGGTCCTCTCCCGGATCTCGAAAAATGGTCTCAGGCTCTTCCCGAGAGGCTACAAAAAGGCACACTCGAATGGAAAGCTTTCGATTGACAAGCCTTCTCTCGGGAAAGAAAAAAAAAAAAAAAATCAATCTCGTCTCGGGGTGGAAAGAATCTGCCCGATAATCGCATTCACCTTCACACAACCAGCGTAAGCACAAGAGAAAAAAAAAAGAGAGCTCTTTCGTGGAGCTGACTTGCCTGTTTATACTTTGAGACGCATCGATCGATGCAGGCCATCTCGCCAAGATTAAGATCCGGATCCTTGTAACTGTGAGCACAATCCATCCAAAAATGATTTCTTTCGGAAGTTTGAAGCTGGGAACTCACTTTTTTCCAATACATTTGTCGCAGCACATTTTGGTCATTCTGGATCGCAGAAAAAAAATCCCCAATAAGCTTGCAGTTGGAATCAATCGAAGAGACTTACTTGGTGTTGAGCTCGACCCAATACCCCAGTTCCTCGATCACGCCAAGGTCCGTCGTCTTGCTCATTAGAAAGAAAGCTCTTATTAACGGAAGAACCCTAACCCTATATTCCAGGAGACATATGCTTCCATTTGAAAAACGACAATTTCGCCGGAAAACAGGAAACGCGCTTTAAAGAACTCCTCACGGAAAGATCGCGAGGATTTCTCGATCAAGAACGCTCTTCGAAGAACCTTGAGCTATGGGCAGCAATCGGTGAGTGGTATTTCTCGTTTCTTCTCGCATCTCTAACTCCTGGATCGATTTTGCGCGATCGATCGAAGATGGTGGTCGAGAGAGACGATTGCCGTGGTGACTGGCAGCAACAAGGGGCTTGGATTGGCCATAGCTCGCGGTCTGGCCATGGAGGGCGTGACGACGATCCTGACTGCCAGAGACGAGCTCCGGGGCTGGGAAACCGTGGACTCGCTCAAACAAGACGAGAGAATCGATCCATCGCTGATCCACTTCCACCGGCTGGACGTGACAAGCGCCTCGTCGATCCAGGAGTTTGCGAGATGGATCAAAACCAAGTTTGGTGGCTTGGACATTTTGGTAAGAACAAGCTCGTGAGCTCACTGCTTAGTTTGATCCATTGTCAAGGTGAACAACGCGGGAATCTCGGGAGCTACTCCGGGAGCTCTCACAAACTTGGAGAACTCCAAAGCTGTGATTGACACGAATTACCTCGCAGTTCGAAAGCTCACAGAGAGTTTGATCTCGCTCATGCGTCCATCCTCTCACGGAGCCCGCATCGTCAACGTGAGCTCCGGAACAAGCCGATTGGATGTAAGCCTCCTTCTCCATCTTGAATCCTCCAAAGATCTTACAAACTTGTCCTTCCAGGCACTGCAAAACCAAGCTCTCGCCCATAAGATCTCAAACATTGACGAGCTCTCGATGGAAGCCATCGACGAGATAGTCAAGGAGTACCTGGAGGACGTCGAGCACGGACGGGTCATCGAGAAGGGCTGGTCCAGGATGTTTGGAGCTTACGACTACTGCTTCTCCAAGATAGCTCTCAACGCCTACACGCGAGTTCTGGCGAGAGATCTCTCCAAACTTCCCGAGGGTCACAAGATCTTCGCCAACTGCATGTGTCCGGGGGTGACCAGCACGGCCATGTCCAGGAACAACGGGCACTCGGCCGAGGTTGGAGCGGACACGGCCATTTGGTTGGCGTTGCGGCCGGCGATAGAGTCGAGCTCGGGGCGATTCTTCTCCAAGAGGAACGACGTTGGGTTTGATCGAATCCCCTTCTACATAGAAAAAGTTGTCTACACTTCCGATCTGGAGGACTTCATGGAGTGTATGAGGAAGCAGGAGCGAACTCGTAAAAGCTGGAGAGAAAAAACAAAATGAAAGGAGAGTTAGAACCGAAAAAAAAATGAACTGTTGCTTACGTGCTTGGAAGACTATCTCTGCCTGTAAAGGTCTCAAAGGTAAATGTTAAGACTCTACAAGCACTGCCGCTCCCCCTCGTCCTTGAGCCTGCTCGCGAGAACTGCCTTCAGCGCCTTCCACATCTCGTTCGGTCGGCCTCCTCATCGAGCTTGAACTCGAAGCTTGCCTCGGCGAAGTCCCTGTAGTAGTCGTCCGCGAGATCGTTTTCCAGCAGCGTCTCCATGTAGCACTCCTTGCAGTCGCACATGAAATTCAGGCTCTTGCGCTTGAAAGGATGGCCACCATTGATGTAGCAGTAAACGAGCTCTTCTCCAGCGTCGATGTCTCGGGCCGCGAAGTAGCAGGTCACCTTTAATGTCCGTTTTGCAAGGAATGCTTGATGAAGCTCGGTGTTGCGAGGTAGACGAAGCCGCTCGAGGAGCTCGGATTGTAGGACGCCTTGCTGACGATCTCAAAGGTTCGCTTCACTTCAATGCCTTCCGCCGCTGCTGTCAGTGCAAATCGGCCAACCCTCGGGTGTTGTCCAGTTCGGCCGGAAGGTTTCCATGGCGGGGACTTCTCGCTCGTCGCCCGCCACCTCGCAAACGAGGCTGAGAAGCTGCTTGTATACCCGTGGAGATTTCATAGCCATGTCAAGCAGCCGAGCAGCAGCGTCTCGGTCCCAAGCTGACTCGTTTTCACCCTGCTCGAAGATGACCGCGTTGCTCACGAGCACAAGCTCACCTCGGTTAAACGGCCCCTGGCCACGCTTCTTGCTCTGGTCTCCACACATCTTCACCTCCACCGGGGCAACGTACTCGGCAAGCACTGGAAACTTTGGCTGTTTCTTGCTCTTGCTGTTGGAATCACTCCACGCGCGATGCTGCTGCTGTCCGGCTTTGCCTGGCAAGTTTCTGGGACTTCTCGAATAGCTGGTCGATGGTTTGGTCGAAATCTCTCAAGAGCTGGCACGACCATTCGTAGAGATGGAGCTTGAGCAAAGCAGACGACTTCCGATACACGCTCTTGAGGTGGCTGGGATGCGCTCAAGGCATAGGCTTGAGCAGCGGCCTCTTTGAAGAGCTTGTTCCCTTCCATCCTGACTCCTCGCGGGGCTCGTACCTTGAACGCCATGGAGGCGATCGTCGCCAAAGAAAGAGAGCACCTCCACGTTCGCCGGGTTGTCGGAAGACTCGCCTCGAAATTAAACCGTGATTATTTCCAGGCCTCTCTCGACGATGGCCTTGACAACACGATGATCTTCCTGTCTGCCAAGCTTGATCTCCCACTCTCGCTCTATCACGCTCCATGCCGCGTCCTTGTCCCGTGCAAACTCCACCAGAAATTTCATGTAAGCCAGATTCGTGTCGCTGGCCGCCGAGAACTTGTGCATCGAGGCCATGATCACCTCCGCCGCTGGGACGCCACCGCCAGGCACCGCCACCGCCGCCCCACTCTCCACCCTCTGGTAATAGTAGAGGTATAGCGACCAGTGGATCGCTCGCAAGCACTGCCGGTCCTCCTCGTCCTGGAGCTTGCTCGCGAGAACCTCTTCCAGCTTCTTCACCACCTTGCCAGCCTCGGGATCCTTCTTGAACTGGAACTCGAAGTTTGCCTCGGCGAGGTCCCTGTAGTAGCCGTTCACCTCCACGAGATCCTCATCCAGCAGCGTCTCGAGGTGGCACTTCTTGCAATCACACTCGAAGGATGCGAGCCTCTTGCGCCTGTAAGGATGGCCGCTATTGATGTAGCAGTGGACGAGCTCTTCTCCGGCGGCGATGTCGCGAGCAGCAAAGTAGCAGGCCGAAGTTCCTAGCACCGTCTGGCACACGTTTGGAACGCAGGAATGGTTGATGAAGCTCGGGAGGAACCACGTCGCGACGTAGATGAGGCCTTTCGAGTACCTCGGATTGAAGGAAGCCTTGCTGACGATCTCAAAGGTTCTCTGCACGTCGATGCCTTGAAGCGCCTCTCTGCCGCTGCTGTCAGTGCTGCTAATCGGCCAAGCCTCCGGAGTCGTCCAGTTCGGCTGGAAGATTTCCATGGCAGGGACTTCTCGCTCGTCACCCGCCACCCCGCAAACGAGGCTGAGGAGCTGCTTGTATGCCCGTGGAGATTTCATGGCCATGTCGAGCAGCCGAGTAGCAGCGTCACGGTTGCAAGCCGACTGGTCGTCACCACGCTCAAAGATGACCGCGTTGCTCACGACCAGAAGCTCGCCTCGGTTGATCTTTCTTGTCGCAAACAGCCCCCGGCCACGCCTCTTGCTCTGGTCTCCACACATCTTGATCTCCACCGGGCCAACGTACTCGGCAAGCTCTGGAAACTTTGGTGGCGCTTTGGTCTCGCTGTCCGAGGCATCGCTCCACGCACGAAGAAAGCTGGAAATCTCCTGGGCGATGCTGCTGCTGTCCCGGCTTTGCCAGGCGAGCTTCTGGCACTTGCTGTAGAGCTGCTCGATCGCTTGGTCCTTCCCAGCGAAATCTCTCAAGAGCTGGCACGACCAGTCATAGAGATGGAGCTTGAGCAAACCCAATGCCTTTCGGTAGAGACTCTTGAGATGGTTGGGATCCATCTCGAGAGCGGCACTGGCAGCATTGATGCAAGCCTCAAATCGCCCCAGCTTGAGGTAACACGCAGCTTGATTGGCAAGCGCTAGCGTCCGATCGCGGTCATCATCCTGTGAGGTGGTGATCAAGCCATAGGCTTGAGCTGCGGCCTCAAAGCTCCCATCTTTAGTAAGCTTGTTCCCTTCCATCCGAATAGCGGAGTGGCTCATACCTCGAAATCTCTGGAGCTGATCGTCACCAAGGAAAGAGAGCACCTCCACATTGGCCGGATTATCGAGCGCGATGAGCGAAAGAGTGCCGGGACCAGTTCCTGGATCATCGAGAAGCACCGCCAGGTCAAGATTCACACCCAGATCGTCCAGAGGCCTCGCCAGCGTCGGCTCCTTGACCGCTACCCTCGCCCCCCTGGGAAATTTCGACCGGACCTCCACGTCCGTGGCACTGCTCGTCACTGCATGCTTGATCGCGAGCAGCACCGATTCCCCGCTAGAATCCTCAAGCACCGTGAGTACCTGGACGCCGCCGTCGATCTTGAGCGCATCGGCAGCGAGAAATCCGTGAAGAACGCGCCCGGTCGCGCGCGCTCCCGGCGTGAGATCGCCGATCCGGACAGGAGCTAGGGCGGAGATTGCCGCGGAGGGAATGCCGTGATCATCTTGTACCCGCTGGAGCAGCATCGAGACCAGGAATGTAGCCGGATCGAGGCACGCCACATCCTCCGCGAGGAATGGCGTCGCGTCGCTGATCACTGGCGCGCGGACGAGGCGGAGGATCATCGCCTTGTGGAGCGCCATCGCGCTTAATCTAAAGGTTCTACTTAGAATAAATTACATTAATATATAAAACGTTGACCAGGTCAACCTAGGTCAACATCATTCATTAATGAGGTTTAAGATAAAGCCGGGCAATTCAAATCTGTTGACCAATGCTCGCTGCCCACGCAGTGCCAGCAGACTAACAGTCCACGAGGGTCAACCTGGGTCTTCACAGTCAACAGCCTTTGGTAGTTATTCCCGAAGAGCGATTGCTGCCAGTCTGGCTCGTTATAATCGGCCTCGTTGAAATACGCCCCCGAGCACGGCGTGAGATCCCTCAACTGGGCATTTGCGGCGGTCAACCGATCCATCCTCTCGCGGATCGACGCTCCAATCGCCGGCGAATCCAGCGAGCTGGGCGAGGATGAACTAGGCGAGCTCGATGAATTGGAAGTGGAAGAGCTCGCGAACAAGGAGGATTCATCCCAGGAGCTCTCGGCGGTGATGTGCCACAGCGCTTGCCTCCAAGCGGGATTCACCGCGACTGCGTCTCCAGCCACCGCCGCCGCCGCGCCGCCGCTCACCGCCACGCCCAGGATCGCGTTGCTCGTCGCGTTGGATTGCAACAGCGTGACGAGCGCGTCGCTGATCTCGCCACCGGAGCTCTCGATTGCGTTGGCGGGGACGAGGCGGGAGATGAGCACTCGATTCGTGCCGAGATCGTCGTTGCAAATCCCCCCGCCGGTGGCGCTCGGGTAGAACGAGCACATCGTGTCGTTGTACCACTCCAGGAAGCTGGGATACGATCGCACGCCGCCGCCCACCGCGCGGACCGTGGCGTTGTGACGTGCGATCCACTCCAGGAACGATCCAAAGCTATGGTCGTGGAACGCGGTGGTCTGGGTGAGCGCGTGGTAGCGGAGAGTCAGCGAGGTGCCGCCCATCACGAAGTAGCCCGCCCAGCCCTGGCGGTACAGCGCGGCGCTAAGCTGGGTAAACTGGCCCATCAGCTGGCGGTAGCTCCCCACGCCGCTGGCGGCAAGCACGTGTACCGCCGAGAGAATGTTGCTCGGTGCCGGGAACGTGCGGTGTACCGCCGCGGTAACCACGCCGAAGGTGCCGCCGCCGCCGCCGCGTAGCGCCCAGAAAAGGTCCCGGTTAACGCACCGGTTGGCGTACCGCACGGTACCGTCGGGCGTCACAATCGTGAACTGGAGCGAGTTGTCGGCGGCGAGGCCGTACGCCGCGGAGAGCGGGCTGTGCCCACCGCCCTGTACGTAACCGCCGCCGGTAGCCACCGAGGAGCTAAGCGCACCCACGACGAGCTTCCCTTGGGCGTGGGCGGCGGTGTAGAGCTCGCGCCACTGGACGCCAGCGCCCACCTCCACTGCCGAGGCGCCGCTGGAATGGGGATCGCAGCCCTCCTCGACGAATTCCTCGCTGAATTGGATGCTCTTGAGATTGTGCGTCCAAATGCTGAGCGATCCACGCGCGAAGCTCCGCCCGAGGTAGTCATGGCCCGTGCTCTTCACCACGATCCGCAAGAAATGCTGCCGAGCGAAGTGGATCGCGGCCTGGACCTGCGAGATGGAGGAGACGTTGACGGCGAGCACGGGGACCGAGCCCTGGGAGCACGATGACGCCGAGGGCAGCGCGGTACCGTTCGGCGGGAGCGGGCAGCTCTGGGTGCCGTAGGCCTCCCAGTTTGGGTGCTCGGCCGCGCCCACTTGGGTGGAGCGCCACGCACTGTCGTGCCAATTGGCCCGCGCGGTGGCGCACTGCGCGGTACCGTCGGCGTCATAGCAGGGTGACGCTGGTGGGCGGACCTGGATGAGAGCGCCGCCCACTGTGAGATTGAATCGCTCCCAGTGCTTGGCGTTTGGGAAGCACGATTGATCGGCAGTGCAGCGGCATCTAGTGGCGGCGATTGCAGCGGGCAAGAGGAGGAAGAGCGCGAGGAGGAGGGATTTGCGAGTAGATCGATCACACATTGCTTCGTTCCACGCAAGGATCATCTTCTTTCTCCCTCCTTTCGGCTTAGATCTGTTTAAAGCGTTCTCCCGCGCCATGACATTAGAATGATCTATCGACCATTGACTAACGACATTGAACAGTGAACAGTGGACTAGCTGACCATCGTTGATTAGTAGGAGCCCACGTAGACGAACTATCGACCATTGACTAGCTAGTCAACGACATTAATCACAGTGACCACAGTGGACTCGCTGACTAGCATTGACTATTAGGACTCCACGTAAATGTTGGAGAGTAGGACGTGGGAGGAGCCACACTCTTGTGGAGTTCGCTCAAGAACAAGCTCCTCGAGAACCCTCGCGCGATCAAAGTCGTGGTGGATCTTACACGCCCCCAGCAGCGTCGTCCACGCCAGTGGCTCCGGCTCGAATGGCATCGTCTCCACGAGCTCCTGCGCTTGATCCAGCCAGCCCGCGCGGCCGAGAAGATCCACCAGGCACACGAAGTGATCCATCCGGGGCGCGATCTCCCACTCGGCGGCCATGGACGTGAAGCACTCGTGGCCGCTGGAGATGAGGCCCGAGTGGGAGCACGCCACCAAGATGGTGATGAAAGTCACGTCGTCCGGCTCGGCGCCGTCGAGCTCCATCCTCCTGTACATTTCCATGGCTTCCTCGGCGTGGCCGTGCTTCGCGAATCCCACTATCATCGCCGTCCAGGACACCAAGTTCTTATGCTCCATCCTGTGGAAGATCCGGCTCCCTTCGTCCAGGAAGCCACACTTGGCGTGTAAGTTCACGATCGCGTTCTCCACCACAATGTTCTTCCTCGTCATCGCCTCCAAGTTGGCGTTGGAGTGGAGATGGCGGAGGAGTTCCTTGGCCTGGTTTAAGTCTCCCAGGCTCGAGCACGCTGCTAGAACCGCGGCGATGGCTCCTTGATCCGGCTCCACTCTTTCCGTCTCCACCATTCTTTTGTAAAGATCGATGGCTTGCCTTTCGCGTCCAGCTTGCGTGTATGCCGTGAGGAGGATGTTCCAGCTGACCACCGTTCGGGAGCTCTCGTCCATGGACTCGAAGAACTTGCTCGCTTCCTCCAGGCTGCCACACTTTGCGTACATGTTGAGCAGTGAGTTCTGGACGAGCTCCGACTTTATCATCCTGGTCGCCACTGCTCGGCTGTGGATCTCTTTGCCGTCTTCAAGGTCGAAGCACGAGCCGAGAACAGCAGCCAGAGTGACGCTGTTTGGTTCTATCTCCCCGTCGCGAAGCATGCTCTTGTAGAGTCCCATGGCTTCGGGGTGATAGCCTTCCTGTGTGTAAGCTGCGATCATCGACGTCCAGGCGACCACGTCTCTGAGTTCCATGCTGTCAAACACCCGACGAGCTTCTTCGACCCTGTGGCACTTCGCGTACATGTTGACGACCGCGGTCTCCAAGTTTCTATCCGGAAGAAGGCTCTCAGCTCTGGCTCGCTGGTGGATCGCCCGGCCGTGTTTCAAAGCTCCAACGTTGGCACACCACCCGAGCAAGCAAATCAAAGTCACTGCGTTGCCACGGACTCCTTGAAGCTCCATCTCCCGGAACAAATCCAGTGCCTCCGCAGCCTGGTCTTTCCCACCAAAGTGTGCGTAAGCTCCGAGAAGAGCGTTCCAGGACATGATGTTCTTCTCTTCCATCCCGTCGAAAACTTTCCTGGCGTCCAGCAAGCCGCCACAGTTCCCATACATCGAGACGAGCGCAGTCCCGAGCGCTGGATCCCGCAGATCCAATGAAGTCACTCGGGAGTGAACTCTTCTGCCTTGATCGAGATCGCCCAGGACCGAGCAAGCACTGAGAACGGTTACGTAAGTCACGCTGTTTGGTTCCACGTCCATCTTGCTGTAAAGCTCCACAGCGTCTCTAGCTCTCCCGCTGTGAGTGTAAGCCGTGATCATCGACGTCCAAGTGATCACGTCCTTGCGCTCTATCCCATCGAAAACTTTTCTCGCCTGATCGATCCTCCCGCATCTCGAGTACATGGTGATGAGAGCGTTCCCGAGAGGACCATCCGGTTGGATCTTCAAGGCAGCAATCCTTGCGTGGATTCTTTCCCCGAGCTTGAGATCGCCCAAGCTGGAAATCGCTGTGAGGACTGCCACGAATGTGATCTTGTTGGGCTCTACATCCATTCTCTGATAGAGCTCCACTGCCTTGTGAAAATGCCCAGTCTGGGCATACGCTGTGAGCATCGCAGTCCAGGACACCACATTCTTGCGGGAGATCCCATCGAAAACTTTCTCGGCCTCTTGCAAGCTCCCACACCTGGCATACATCGTCACAAGGGCCGCCTCTAGAGAAAGATCCGATTCCCTCCTAGACGATCGGATTCGCGAGTGGACCGATCTTCCCTCGGCCAAGAGCTGCGAATTTCCACAGGCGCCCAGCACGCCCAGCAGCGTCACTCGATTCGGCTCCACGCCCTCGGAATCCATCCTCTGGTAGAGATCTAGCGCCTCTCTTCCCTGTCCGGCCTGAGAATACCCCGAGACCATCGCATTCCACGACACCACGTCCTTCTTGGCCATGGAATCGAATGTGGATCGCGCTTCTTCCATGCTGCCGCACTGGCGATACATCTGGATGAGGAGATTTCCCAAGAACGTGTTGCCGCCATAGCCATAGCGGAGGAGATGGCGGTGGACGCGGCGGCCCTCCTCGATCGCCTTGGCGGCGCCGCAGCATTGGATGAGAGACGCGTAGAGTGATGATCCTCCTACCTGGATCGTTTCCAGGCGCTCCAATCCATCCTTGATGGAAAGAAGGGTTCTACGCATACAAAGGGGGAAAAAATATTTTAGGGTCTATCAGTTTCTAGGGCAGAGAATGGGACGCCACAGCTCGGAGGACAGGCATCGATCGCGCAGGTACGATGACGAAGCGGAGGATAGAGCTAGGAAATCCAGGAAATCGAGGCGCAGCGATTCCAGCGATGATTCCGAGCTCGAGGAGAGGAGGAGGAAGCGGAAATCCGAGAAGAGGAGAAAGAGAAGAGACGAGACCTCTGGCTCGGAGATTGAATCCGATGGAGAAGATCGGAGGAAGAGGCATAGAAAATCGAGGCGCGACGAGAGCGATGCTTCTTCCAGCGATGACGAAGGGAGAAAGTTTACTGAGGAAGAACTTAACGAGTACCTTGTGAAGAAAGCTCAAAGAAAGGTACTACAAATTTTTTTTCTTTCTTTCTTCTCTGCATGACTTTGATTTGCCATATGTCCAGGCGGCCAGGGTAGCGAAGAAGCTTAAAACGCAGACTGTGTCCGGCTATTCCAACGATAGCAATCCTTTTGGAGACTCCAACTTGACTGAGAAGTGAGTGAAGTTTATTCGGCATTTTCGGTTTGGAGTTGATTGTTTTTCGCGGTTTTGAGTTGATTGTTTTTCGCAGGTTTGTGTGGAGGAAAAAAATAGAACGTGATGTAGCAAATAAGAAGATGGACTTGAAAGATCTCTCCGTGAAAGCGGAGAAACTGCGCCAAAAAGAGCGGATGGTAAGATGATACGTGTTACTCTCCTGGCTGCTACTAAAACGAACTCTTGTTTCTGCAGAGAGAAATCGAAAAGGTTAAGAAGAGACGAGAAGAAAGGGCTATAGAAAAGGCTCAACATGAAGAAGAAATGGCCATGCTAGCGAGAGAGCGAGCAAGAGCGGAGTTTCAGGACTGGGAGAAAAAGGAAGAAGAGGTTTGTTTTCCGATATCATTGTTTTAAAGTCAAATCTAACATTTTATTGTGGATTGCAGTTTCATTTTGATCAAAGCAAAGTGCGTGCTGAGATTCGCTTGAAGGAAGGCCGGGCAAAACCAATTGATGTTTTGTCCAGAAATCTAAATTCTCCCGACGAGTTTGATATTGCCATCACGGAGCCATATAAGATATTCAAGGTTTTTAATCTGTTTTTCGATTTTCGTCTTGCTCAACCATTCTTTGCTTTCAGGGACTTACCGTCAGAGAGATGGAAGATCTCCGTGACGATATTCGAATGCATCTGGAGCTAGACAGGACAACACAAACGCACATTGACTTTTGGGAGGCCATGATGGTTGTTTGCGACTGGGAGCTAGCAGAATCACTTAAAAAGGATGGAGTTGATAAAGCTAGAGTTCGTGGTGAAGAGCCCGGTCAGGAGCTGATGGCGGACGATTTTGGACTACACAAGAGCGTTGATCCGGACGTCAAGACTCTTCTTCATAACATGAGCTATCGCCAACTGGAAGAAGAACAAGTGAAGATTGAAGAACAAATGCGGTCAGGATCAGCGAAGATTGTCGAGTTCTGGGAGTCCTTATTGAAGAGGTTGCAAATCTTCAAAGCCAAGGTACGCACAAAGTTCATTTCCTTGTCACAATTGCTAACGAAAATTACAGGCTCGCCTACGAGAAATATACTCGGATGTACTTCAGCAGCACTTGCAACGTATCGATGAATCCGAAATAAACAAGATTTCAAACGAAGATGAGGAGGAAGCGATGGTCACAGAAGAGCTAAACAGGTCTCCGACACCTGAGGTTGAGCCTGAAGTATACGACGACGACGATCCAGGGTCATTTTCGCCTCAGCTGGTTCATGACTATGAAGCTGACGAGATTGTGGATCCCGAGACCGACAGAGCAGAACTTGTAAGCACTAAAACCTGTTTTGTTTTTCTGGTTTCATTTCATGTGTGACTTGGGTTCTTTCGTAGGAACGCAAGAGGGCTGAAGTTCTTGAGGAGCAACAAAAGAGGTTACACGACGCCTCTGGTCCCAGCGAAGAGGAAAACATCGAGCACGAGAGGGCAATTGCCTTGAAGGCAATGGGAAATATGGAAGAAGGCGATGCTATACTTGGATCCGGGGCGGAGGTCAATCTGGAATCTCAGGTACGTAGAACTTCTGTTTTCGATATATTGATGCTAGGCTTCCGCCTTTGCAGGTTTACTGGTGGCACGATAAGTACCGCCCGAGAAAGCCCAAGTATTTTAACCGAGTCCACACGGGCTACGAGTGGAACAAATACAACCAGACGCATTATGACCACGACAATCCGCCGCCGAAGATCGTCCAGGGATACAAATTTAACATTTTCTATCCCGACCTCGTTGACAAAACGAAGGCACCGACTTATGCGATCGAGAGAGATGGAAGCAGCGGGGAGACGTGCCTCATCAGATTTCACGCAGGCCCTCCATACGAAGATATTGTGAGTGATTTGTTCCTCGTTGTTTTCTTGTTTGTTTTTTGGTTTCCGTGTTGCTAAGATGGTGTGTGTGTGTGTGTTTGCAGGCTTTTCGCATTGTCAACAAGGAATGGGAGTATTCACACAAGAAAGGCTTCAAGTGTACATTCGAGCGAGGTATCCTTCATGTTTATTTCAACTTTAAGAGGTATCGCTACAGGAGGTGATGAAAGCAAAGAGATCCGCGTGAGAAAGATGTGTAAGCAAACGCGCTATGCAAAACTTTTCGCTGTACAAAAGAAAACAAAAAAATTGACATAAATGGAGTCAAGATCACAGGCTTGATGGATGTATTCCAAAAAAAATGCGGAGTTTTTTGAATGGAGCCAAGAAGTTGATGGGTATCACTTGCTTACACTTTTCTGCCACTGGAAAATGAAAATGCCCACCACTCTTTCATTCAAGTAGTCCGCTTTCTTTCCATTTTCTGGAAGGCAAGACCCACGCTCACTCGTTGCTCTTGCTTCGCTTGCTTGATGCTACAGTTTTGTTCCCTCCATTCACACTCGAAAATTTAAATTCCTTTCTTGGCGCGCCTTCGCTATGATCCATCAAAATCCAAGAGATTGCTTTCGCGCTACGCTCACTCCCTTGTGTAGCTGATCTGGTAGTACCACAGTAGAGTTATTAGTGGACTGACAGTGGACACCCACAAGAGCAATCATGCCCAGCTTTAAATCTGGCCTTTATTCTTGCTTGCCAGTTAGTGTTGTTAGTTGTCTAACTAACACAAGACGATCGATCATCCATAAACCCCGAATGTGCGAAATTTATCTAGAGAAGAAACAATGTCTCGTTTATTGCGCATGCAAATTAAACCATATGAGATTGTTGATTAATCTCTCCCATCAAGTTTATGCTATCGTCTCATGTTTGACATTGACAAGGTTTTGCATGGAAGCATGTTTGTTACGCTCCGAATTGCACGAGGATCGAGAACACTTCAACCTCGCAGGACAGCAGAAAATGTTTAATATGTTCAAGCATCAACTGGAGCTTATATAAATTTTTCTTAAAGAAAAAAGCCACACTCTCAACAAGAACAGCAGCTTTCTTGTTTAAAAAGTGATGGAAAAAACTCTCTCCAGGTACCCTCTCTGAAATGAAATAGACCAACACCAACAACTACACAACAAGCAGCAAATTCAGAAAAACAGGTTTGGAGTCAAAGTGGGAGCAGCCTTTTGTCAGTGCTGGCCTGAATTCTGAATCATCCTGTGGTGCCAATTGCACTAGAGGAGAGTCAACCAATCCAAGTGAGAGCAAGAAAAAACAAGAGAAAGAAATCATACATATACTTGAGAGCAGACAATGGCTGGATGGAACTTGGAAGGAGCCTCTTCTCTATTTTATCCTTCTTTTTACTGCTGCTGGGTTGTTGTAACTTGCAAGTATTGCCAGAACTTTTACCACTGGTTCTTCAGTTCAGTTCAGAAGTTACTGAGGAACCACTGCTTGATTGATGCTGGTGAAGTGCTGACTTTCTTCATCAATGATCCATTTAATGGATCTCTCCTGCTGTTGTCTGTTAGCTGCGTGAATTCATGAGCGATCCTTCCTGGATCTCTTGCACACATACCTTGATCTTCGGGAAGTAGAATTTGATATCCCACGAAGACGATCGATCGAGATCATAGAGCAAGCGTCAAACCAGCCTATGCCAGAAGAGCTCCGTGAACACCTCCATGATCGTCGCATGGAACTCCGGCGGGTTGAGCGAGAGATAGCACTGGAGAAGCTCCCGGAATTCGCTCATCTTCTCCAATCCATTCGCGGCGCTCATCTCCAGCATCGAGTCCTTGTAGTCTCGGTATGGATCCACCGAGAACTTGGCCACCGCCACCCCTCCCACTTTCTTCTCCGCTGGGATCTTCTCGTGAGCTAGAGCACCGCAATCGCAACTGCCGCAATTGGAAGACGAAACCATCTTCTTTGGCTGCTCCTTCTCCTCCAGCTCCAGCTCGCCGATCTTTGACGAGCAATCGGGCGATGGGAAGTGCTTGTCACCGGCGCTCTGGACAGATCTGATGTAGTGATCGAGGGAGAAGAAGGAATCATCGAGAAAATGGCCACCAGAAGCCACCGGAGGGGCAATGAAGACATCCTTGGAAGTGGCCTCCAAGCGATCCACCAGGAACTCGGAGCTGATGCGATCCTCGTCGAGGCATCTATCGTCGCCGCTGGCAAAGGAGAGCTCCTTGTCCCACGAGTAGTGATTCTGATCGTCGGCAGCCGAGGAGGAGGTGCTAAGGCGGTATCGCGAGGACGAGCAAGATCCCGAGTCGGCCTGATCACTCATCACTGGAGCCGGCTCCTCCCTCGCGAGCTTCTTCTTGCTCTTCTTCTTCAAGATCACCTTCTTGGTGACGAAATCGTCACCGACCTGCGTGACGATGTTCCAGGACTTCTCTTTCTCCCAAATTTCGTCGCTCTCGGCCTTGTTCTTGGCGCTCTTGGCCGAGATCTTCTTCTTGCCCTGGATTTGGAACTTGTAGCTGTCGACGACCATCCCGGCGGTGCTAACCGCGCAGGGATTGCAAGCCAGGAGGAGGAGCTGATCCAGCCCCGCCGATTTGCCGCAATGCTGCTTGTTGCCGATGAATGCCGGTCGCGATTTCTCGTATTTCGCCATGGAGAGCGGCTTGCTAGGCGGCGAGCTCCTGGAATTGGTGGAATCCCTCCTAGCCCTGTACCTAGATTTGAGATAACCGAGCGAGAAACACTTCCTTGTTAGCCGGAAAGCGCGCAATCGCTGCAAAGCCAGCCTTAGCCGCCTCATTGATTGCTACACGCCAGGCGCAACGAGACGATCAAAGCGAGCACAGCCAGTGTTCTAGCAAAGATTCTTCCGCAAATCCATCCTCCCTGAGCAAGCGAACACGCCGCGATCACAGACAAGGCGTCAGTGAGCGAGCCGCGCAGGGAAGGAAGAGCCCTAGCTACGAGCACACACAAAAAGAGACAGCTCTATAGCGTCGCAGAGACCGTATGCTATGGCCCAATGTGTACGGTGAGGTCCCCAAAAATTATTTGAATTCTCCCGCGCAACGTGCCGCCCTAAAAAAGCGTGTGCGTGTCCGTGATACGAAGTGGCGATCATCTTCTCTTTTTGACTCTTTTGGCGCGTCGTGTGATCCAATTCAACTCCCTTGGATTTTTATTTCGGATAAATTAGATGGAGTGTTTCTTCGCAGAAGAATCTAGGCGATCATGGCGTTTAGATCCAAGAGCCCTAACCCTAGAATTCAATTGCGCGCTCCCGCCCTCTGCCGAGATCTTGCCACGTGTCGGGATCTGGTGATGAGCGCGCTGGTGAGCGCAAACATGCCGTGGACGCGCTTGAGCTTGCCGCTCCGGGCGAGCGATCGCAGCTGCCTGGCCAGCGATCGCCGGAATTTCTTGGGGAGATTGGGGCCATACTTGCGCTTGATTCGGTGGAGGATCGCGGCGCTGCTGATGCCGCGCTTGGATTCCAGGAGCGTCGCCAGGATCAGCATAGGGATTTTAGGGATTCTCTTCCTCTTCCTCCTCTTGCGCTTCATTCCCTTCCAGATCACTCGCTTCCTTCGTACTTTCACCCTGGATCGTCCTCTAGAGCTCTTCTTTCTCCTCTTTCTTGCTCCATGGTACTCGATATAGATCCGGCGTCCACGCCTGCCATCGCCAGGCAAGGGAATCAAGAACGCATTTAGGGTTTGTCGGGAAGCTCCGGTCATCCTCGAAAGAGAGATTTGGAAGGAGAGGGATCCAGTGACATGGCATTGGATTAGGGTTTGGGGCTCTTCGATCTCCGGCAATCCATCGGCCGCGCCACGAGTTCCAGCCAGCAGCGATGATCATGGGCAGTGCACAAGAGTTTCGAGTGTGGGGTAGCACGGGACCGCCGGATGGAACTGTTTGTGGGGTCATAGATCTCTGTGGACATATGCTGGTATACTGTCGCTATCTGCAATGCGCGACGACTAATAGGTGGAGCGCAACTACGCTCCCGAGAGATTGTTGTGGCAGCTTTCTGATCACTCCCGGAGGCTTGCCATGGGCGATTGAAATTCGGGCTTGGGTTCGTGGTTTCTGGGGCGATCAGGGATGAATGGGCCGGACGCCACAGCTAGAGGCGGACAGAGTGAGCACCACGACGATGCCTCCAAGCAATTGGTACCATTCTACAAGCTCTTCACATTTGCCGATAGGCTGGACTACCTTCTCATGTTTCTGGGAACCGTGGGAGCGATTGGAAATGGTCTCGCGATGCCCTTCATGACTCTCATCCTGGGCCAAGTCACGAATGCGTTTGGAAACAATTTTGGCGACCCGGGGAAGCTCTTCGATGCTGTCTCTCAGGTATGGGATTCATCTGTTTTTTCTTGTTCGTTTGATTTCTTTTTGCTGACTATGACGAACAGGTCGCCGTGAGATTCCTCTATCTTGGCGCTGGCGCAGCAGTTTTATCATTTTGTGGTATGGATGGATTGTTTCCTCTGAAGAGGTCTCACTGTTTTTTATATCCATACAGAGGTTGCTTTCTGGATTTGCACCGGTGAAAGGCAAGCCACTCGCATCAGGAGTCTCTATCTGCAAGCAACTTTACGTCAAGATGTTTCGTTTTTTGATAAAGAAACGAATACCGGGGAGGTGATCGAGCGTATGTCGGGGGACACTGTTTTGATCCAAGATGCCATTGGAGAGAAGGTTTGGATCTTTTTCATTCTTTTGGAAGTTGCTCATTGTTTTTATCTTGCGCAGGTAGGAAGGTTCATACGGTTTGTAACAACGTTCGTCGGTGGATTTGCTCTGGCCTTTATCAAGGGATGGAAACTTACACTCGTGATGATGTCGACTTTGCCCCTGCTGGTTGCTGCAGGAGCTACACTCGCTATACTTGTTTCGAAAATGGCTGGAAGGGGTCAGGTTGCGTACGCTAGGGCCGGAAATATAGTAGAACAAGTTGTCAGTGGCATCAGAACGGTATGGTTTGGATTTTTTTGCACTGTAATCACATTTCTCCTAACAATCTGAAGCTTCTATCAGGTTGCATCTTTCACAGGAGAGATTAAGGCTGTGGAGGACTACAACAGTGCCTTGAAAGATGCATATAAGGCCACCATTTTTCAGGGTCTAGTCTCTGGATTGGGGATGGGATTTGCTCTGTTCACGTTCTTCAACAGCTATGCTCTGGCGTTATGGTATGGCTCAAGGCTAATTATCAATGAGGGGTATAGCGGGGGTACAGTTCTGAATATAATCATTGTCGTTCTTCTAGGAGCAATGTAAGTGTTTGATATGCTTTCAAGCTTTGGCGTTAACTTTTTATTCCTTTTGTGCAGGTCTTTGGGTCAGGCTTCACCTTGTATCGGGGCGTTTGCCGCCGGTCGAGCTGCTGCATATAAAATGTTTCAGGTTATCAACCGGACACCACAGATTGACTCTTTCGATACGAGTGGGATTACGCCCGGAACACTCAAAGGAGATATCGAGTTTCAAGACGTAGATTTTGCTTATCCAGCCAGGCCAGAGGTTCAGATATTCAAAAAGTTTTGCCTTAAGGTACCTGCTGGAACAACGGCTGCTTTGGTGGGGGAAAGTGGAAGTGGAAAGTCTACTGTTATAAGCTTGCTGGAGAGGTTTTATGATCCAAGCGGAGGTCAAATTCTTCTCGATGGTTACGACGTGAGAGCGCTACAAATTCAGTGGCTGAGACGTCAGATTGGGCTTGTGAGCCAGGAGCCTGTTCTATTCGGTGCATCTATAAGAACAAATATCGCTTATGGAAAAGATGGTGCAACGAACGAAGAGATATTACTTGCGGCCCAGCTCTCTAATGCTTCGAAATTCATCAACAAGATGCCAGAAGTAAGTTTTGATAAATCGTTTTTTTTCCTGAGTAACTCTAGTAATTCTCACAGGGCTTCGACACACAAGTTGGAGAGCAGGGAACGCAGTTATCTGGAGGACAGAAACAACGCATCGCTATTGCTAGAGCTATTATAAAGAATCCTCGTGTTTTACTACTTGATGAAGCAACGAGCGCCTTGGATGCTGAATCCGAGCACGTAGTTCAAGAAGCTCTTGACCGGATCATGGTCGACCGCACAACAGTTGTAGTTGCTCATCGTCTCTCTACGGTAAAGAATGCGTCTCTCATATCTGTGGTACAAGATGGAGCCATTATCGAGTCAGGTACGTATCCCGAGTCTTCTGCGCCAGTGTCTTAGATGACTATCTTTTCCAGGTACACATGTTGAGCTGCTTAAAAATCCCGACGGTGCATACTCTCAACTTATCCGACTTCAAGAGGTGCACGAAGAAAGTGCTCCAGCAGTCGATCCCGATCAAGTAGCAACTCCAAATGAACGGGCTCTGAGTAGAAGCGGCAGCAAAAATTCTTCGGGACGGTGGTCGGGACGATGGTCTTTTGGAAGTAGAAAAAGCCGCACGTCATTCTCGATCAGGAGATCGGGCGGGGCCGCCCCCGAGATGGAGTTTGTGGAGCTCGAGCCCAGACGAAAGCGTTTCTTATTTTGCTTTCGCTCTGAGACGAGCGAGGACGTTGAAGCGGGCAGGGATGCGGAGCCCAAGGATGTCTCCATATTTCGAGTTGCAGCTCTAAACAGGCCAGAACTTCCGATACTTATTTTCGGATCAGTGGCCGCAGTCGCTCACGGAATAATTTTTCCAGCCTACAGTCTGTTACTATCGAGTATGCTGGCCACGTTCTTCGAGCTCGACACACACAAACTCCAAACCGACTCAAACTTCTGGGCGCTGATGTTCGTCGTGATGGCTGCTGGCAGCATCGTCGTTTGTCCTTCTAACTTATTCTCATTTTCAATAGCGGGTAGCAGGCTGGTTAATCGTATCAGGCAAATAACTTTTTCAAATATCATCCGACAGGAAGTCTCGTGGTTTGATACACCGGAGAACTCAAGGTACATTTCATCTTTAAGTCTCCAATCCAGCTTAACTTTTGCGTTGATCAGTGGTGCCATCGGTGCACGGCTTTCGTCGGATGCTGCTAGTGTTCGAGGAATGGTAGGAGACTCTTTGTCCTTGGCCGTGCAAAATGGATCAACCGTTGTTGCGGGGCTTGTAATTGCATTCACTGCAGACTGGCAGCTAGCTCTTCTCATCCTGGGAATGGTGCCTGTTCTGAGCATTGTCGGCCTTCTCCAAGTCAGGTTGATGACGGGCTTTAGCGCTGACGCCAAGGTAGACATTTTCCTGCTTCTATCTTGTTTAATCTGTGAGCGTTTTCTTTTAGACCACGTACCAAGAAGCGAGCCGAATTGCAACGAGCGCAGTGAGCAACATTCGCACCGTTGCATCGTTTTGTGCGGAGAAGAAGATGCTGGAACTGTACAAGCAATCGTGCAAGAAGCCTCTCGCCAATACTGTTCGCATTGGATATATCAGTGGTGCTGGTCTTGCCATCTCCACTCTCGTGCAGTTCGGTTCGCAAGCTCTCATCTTCTGGTATGGTGCCCGCCTCGTCCGCCAGGGAAAGACAGAATTTAAGAACGTTTTTAAGGTCCTTGAAAGTTTTCATCTTTTCGTTTTCTTCTTGGTGCTCATGATATTCTTTCCACTGGCAGGTGTTCTTTGCTATCATCTTCACTGCTCTTAGTGTCTCCCAGACACTGGGACTAGCTCCAGATCTTTCAAAGGTGAAAGCTTCCGTCGCTTCGATCTTCGCTACCATCGATAAGAAGTCCAAGATCGACGCAGCAGACCCTTCAGGAAGGGAGTTAGAGGATCTCAAAGGCCATATTGACTTTCGGCACGTTAGCTTCCGGTATCCTACCAGGTCTCACGTACCGATTTTCCACGACCTGAGCTTCTCCGTTCGAGCAGGGAAGGTAGTGTTTTCCTCTCTCTTTTTTTTGTTTTCTTACTTCGAGTTTCTTGCCTCAGACATTGGCTCTAGTCGGAGAAAGTGGCTGTGGGAAATCAACAGTGATTTATCTCCTAGAGCGATTCTACGATCCCGATGGAGGCCACATCTTGGTCGACGGCGTCGACATCCGAAAGCTCCAGCTACGATGGCTTCGCCAACAAATCGGTCTTGTCAGCCAAGAGCCGATTCTCTTCACCGGAACCATCCGCTCAAACATCTCGTATGGAAAGGACGGCACTGTGACCGACGAGGAGGTAGTGAACGCTGCGGTGGCCTCCAACGCTCACGAGTTCATCACGAGCCTCCCAGACGGCTACAACACACAGGTTGGCGAGCGAGGAATCCAACTCTCGGGTGGACAGAAGCAGCGGATCGCCATCGCCAGGGCTATCATCAAGCAGCCCAAGATCTTGCTGCTGGACGAAGCCACCAGCGCTCTCGATGCCGAGTCGGAGCACGTTGTCCAGGCGGCGCTCGACCGGATCATGGTGGACAGAACAACCATCGTCGTCGCGCACAGGCTCACGACGATCGTCAATGCGGACATGATCGCGGTGGTGAAGAATGGATCGATCGTCGAGAAAGGGAAGCACTCGGACTTGGTGCACGTCGAGGGAGGAGCTTACGCCTCGCTCGTCAAGCTCCATGCCGCGGCTTAGACATCCCACGGCTATTATTTAAACTATGAATCCAACGGTAGAGTTTTGTGGGTTTATTAATCTGTCGGTGGTGGGAAATGAATGAAATGAATGAATCTGACGGCTCTTATTAAACTATGAATCCAACGGTAGGGATTTTCTATTTCCAGGTGACTACGGCTATGATTCGTTCTGGGCGGTCATTTTGGCGCGACGCTATAGAGTCCAGACTATTCGGAAAAGAACAAATATCCGGCCATGCGGCGCAATGGAATAGTGCCACGTCGGAAGATATCCACGTGTCACGCAAATGCTGGGCAGACACGTGGTCGGACGAGAATATGCCTCACCGCGAACCAAGGTGTGATGCCACCTCTCTTTGTCCCGAGGAAGTATTTTGTTTCGATGCTAGGGCAGCCTTCAGATCGTCGACACGCTCACGGAGTCTCTTCTTCCTGCTTGGAATATTTCGATCCAGCGATTCTTCCATCCATCGATCCACCGCCAGGTTTTCGCGTTCTTGCGATGGAGGAGCGCGGATAATGCAGCCACGCAATCCCGATCTTCATCGATTGAGCAGCGCTTTTCTTCTCGCCAGGGCTTAGGGTTCTTGAGCTAGCTTCTCCTTCTCTCCTTGTCGCGTCAAATGCAAGGCGCTACAAAAATCGCATTGGCAGCTGCGCTTGGAAATCTTCTCCAGGGCTGGGACAATGGCGCCATCGCCGGTGAGTGATCAAACATTCAAGCCAGCTTTTTGTATGGCATCCATTTTTTTTTGTTTCATGTTTTCTTTGCGATTTTGCTTTCTCGAATGTTTTATTCTTGTCACTATCTCTTGATCTTGCTAGCTTTTCTGTTTCCACTTCTTGCTTCGTTTAAAACCATCGTCTCGTGTTTTTCTTTGCGATTTTCTCGAATAATTTCTTCTTGTCACTAACGTCTTGATCTTAGGTGCACTGCTTTATATCAAGCCAGAGTTCCATTTGGAAGACAAGCCCACTATTGAAGGCTTCGTTGTGGCTTCCACGCTCCTTGGAGCTGTATGTAGCACAGTCTGTGCTGGCCCAGGGGCGGACTGGCTTGGAAGGAAGCTGATGCTCATCTTATCGTCGGCACTTTTCTCAGTAAGCTCGTGCGCTATGCTCTGGTCGCCAAGCGTCTACGCGCTCATCGCCAGCCGGTTTCTCGTGGGGACTGGCATTGGACTGGTCGTGACCATCGTCCCGATTTACATCGCTGAGACGGCTCCGTCGGAGATCCGAGGGCAGTTGGCAACTTTTCCACAGCTCCTGGGATCTGGCGGGCTGTTCGTCGTGTACATTATGGTGTTCTTCCTGTCGCTAACGGCGGATCCCAGCTGGAGAATGATGCTGGGAGTTTTGCTCATCCCAGCTCTTCTGTACCTGGCGCTGGTGATATTTTACTTGCCCGAATCGCCAAGGTGGCTCGTAAGCAAAGGCCGGATGCTGGAAGCTAAGTATGTTCTACAGCGGCTACGCGACAGAGACGACGTTTCAGGCAAGTACTCGCTTTGTGACTTCTTTTTTGTCTCGTGACTGATCCTTTGTTTGACAGCGGAGCTCGCTCTTCTTGTCGAGGGTCTCGGTGTCGGTGGTGAGGCATCACTCGAGGAGTGGCTACTCAAACCCGCACCGGAAGACGTGCTCGAAAACGGTGTCCCGCAAAAACACGAGTCTCAAATCAAGCTTTACTCACCCGAGGAAGGTATCGCGTGGATTGCCACCCCAGTCGTAGAAGAACCGGCTGGCCACTCGCTTGTGCCAACCTTCCCCAGCTTCAGCATGAAGAGCGTCCATCTCATGGATCCTCTTGTGCAACTTATCGGAAGTGTACAGCAGACTCAGGAACACCACCAAGCCGTTGAAGGACACGAGCGTGATTATCCCGAGGAGCCACATTTCAAGGAAGAGGAGGACAAGCCACGCGATAATGGCTACGAGTCAGACATGGAAGAAGGGGTGGTGGGAAATCTCGACGAGTCGAACCTCGAAGCGCCGCTACTTCACAAGCGGTCTGGCGTGTCAAGCAGGGACAACTCGGGAGCCTTTGAGGACGTGGAACAGGGACATGAAACAGTGCCGGAAAGACGAGGAAGTAGAAGCAATCTGGTTTCTCGTGGCAGTATGCACCATGGAAGCATGCCGGAGTCTCTTGGAAGTGTGGGAATCGGAGGTGGATGGCAACTGGCCTGGCAATGGTCTGAGCCCGAGCAGGGAACGGGGCATACAGAGGAAGGCGGCTTCAGAAGAGTTTTCTTGCTGCAGGAGGCAGTGGACGCGTCTGGCCGAATTGTTGGATCTACGGCATCGTTACCAGGAATTGCCGAAGGGGACTCTATTCCAGCAGCAGCCATAATTGGACACCCAGCGCAGTCGATGAGGGATATCATCGGTGAGGCTCCAGTTGGCCCTGCCATGCTTCATCCTACGCAGACAGCTACGAGCGGGCCTGCGTGGTCGGACATATTTGTTGGCGGCGTCAAAAGAGCTCTTATCGTTGGCTTGAGCTTGCAAGTCTTACAGCAGGTATGATTTTTTTTCTTTCTTAAGTTTCGCCCTTGATGTATCCGAGCTTTTGCTTCTCGTTATTTGCAGTTTAGTGGCATCAACGCTGTGCTCTACTTCATTCCACAGATTCTCCAGCAATCTGGACTAGCTGTTTTACTCTCGGACGCTGGTATCAACGCGAACTCGGCGTCTATACTAGGAAGTGCCGCCACGTCCTTGCTCATGCTTCCATGCATTGTGTTGGCCATGCGCTTGATGGACCATTCTGGCCGTCGGTGAGTAGATGCTTTCGCTAGCACGAGGCTTTTGAGATTTGACGCTTTGGTTTAACAGGCAGTTGCTGCTTTCAACGCTTCCGGTGTTGTTGCTGGCACTGGTGGCCGTGACATTCTCAAACAACTACCTCCGTGCCGGGCTCGTTCAGGCAGTCATTTCCTTCCTCAGCGTGACGCTCTACGCTTGCTCGTTCGTGATGGGATTTGGGCCGATCCCAAACATCCTGTGCTCGGAGATATTTCCAACAAGGGTCCGTGGCCTCTGCATAGCAATGTGCCAGGCCACATTCTGGGTGTGCAACATCATCGTCACGTACCTCTTCCCGATTCTCCTCGTCCGACTTGGCCTGGGAGGAGTCTTCAGCCTGTTCGCATTGGTTTGTCTCGTGTCGTGGATTTTCATCTTCCTCAAGGTCCCGGAAACGAAAGGGCTGCCTTTGGAAGTCATCTCGGAGTTCTTCGCTATGACCGATCGCCTCGAAGCCAAGAAATCGTCAACTTAGGCGCAGGTAACTTGCACTGGAGAGTTTTCGGTTTTAACTTGTGCATAGTTTATCCAGGAAAGATGGAAACACATCTTTTTCACTCGAGTTTAGGGAGTTTACGTATGTTCGTACATATAGTAACGAAATAAGAAAACGATGATTGATTCTTGATTTATAGTCTGGTCTGGGTAAGTCAATCCTCTTCTTCCTGACATTAATCACAGGCAGGTGGGAGCTCTATCCATGCGATCTCTCTGTGCAGCAAAACTCGCTTTCTTGTGAAAGAAGGCTTTTGTACTTTGGCAAAGAAAAAGGTACCGAGCTTTCAAAAGCAAAAGAGAGTTTGTTGGTTTTTAACATGGAGCTGCTGTTTTTCGTGCAGGATTGTCGCTATGGACAAATCTTACCAGTAGTAACTTTCAAGCCAGGAAGCCAGGGAGGTGAGAACTTTGCTTTTTCTCTTCTTGTTCTACAAACTTAGCAACTTAATCTCGCAGCTAGGAGAAGACGACGCGGAAGATGCGAAATAAGGAGAGATTGCTGGTAATATATCTCTCCCTGCTCTAGTCTGCGATTCTGCTGTCCTTGGTTCTTCATTATGCGCCGTTACAGCTTTTATTTTTGGTTCTTCAGTTAAAACAGTTCTTCTTTTGTTACAGAAATTCATTGCGCCTCGCTCACCCACCGAGCACACAAGGCGAAGCGACTCTCGAACGACTCAATCCCACATGACGATGGTGGAAGGACGCATGGGATGAATTTGTCATGGACACCATCAGCTTGAGAAGCCACATCCTCGTCGAGCAGTCGGGCCTTGCAAGGATCCCAGGTTCGCTCTTCTTAAGTTCCATTCATTTTTGCGAGTTCTTTAGATAGCTCCTTTTTTTTTTTTTCTCGCACAGGGAGTCTCGAGTCTCGAGATGAGCCTCGAGTGTCACAGTCCTGCCGGATTTGCCTGATGGGCGTGGAGCAGGAGGAGTGGATCCAAATGGACTGCGCTTGCAAAGGTGAGCTTGCCATTGCTCATGTCGACTGCGCGGTGCGGTGGTTTAGCATCCGAGGGAACTCCTCGTGTGACGTTTGCGGCGTGGCCATCGGCAATCTCCCCGCCCTCTCTCCGCGCAAGCCCTGCTACCAGCAGCAAGATCAAAGCTATCCCGTGGTGCTCAACCAAGACGATGACGACTACTATGATCCCATAGACAGGTATGCTCTAGCGATCGATCGATCGATCGATCGTCTTGCTAACACAAGTGGCCTCTCCTTGGGCAGCTCTTGCAGTAAGATCGCAGTGCTGGTTGCGAGCTCCACCATCGGATTCTTCAGGCAAAAGCTCCGAGCCTTGGCAGAGTTCCCGTAGCGGCCATTGAATGCGCATGAAACTGGTTTTATTAAATGCGACGGTAGGATTTGCGCCACGTGTTCTCTTGGATGGAGCCAGCTGTCTGCGAACGTGGCGACACGTGTCTGCGAAAGGGGTAAGGATTTCGACACGTGTGAGGCTAGCAGTGCGACGCGTCTATGCTTGAATGGACCCGGTCAATCTTAGTTTAAAGTAGTCGATCATGTTTATAGTCAACGCAAAAAAAGTCATACAGAACATTGCGAGAACGAGTCAAGAACGAAACAACCAAAGAGAACGCTGGATTCTCGCGATGATCATCCCGGGTACTTTTCCTTGCCGGGCGATAGCCTCCCATTCTCGAGCCTGGCAACGAGCTGGTCTACATCCACACCAGTATCATCCTCGTCCTCCTCCTCGTCTCCACCTCCTCCTTGCTCGGCCCCCCCGACGCTCTCCTCCTCGATCTTCCCCAGGAGTATTTGCTCCCAGAAGAAATCACTCGACAAGAGGCTGCTCTCATCGATCTCCCCTGCCGGATCCACCTCGAAAGCCATGCTACCACTATCATCACCCAAGCTGGAATCCGGAGCACCAAAAACTCCACTGCCGCTCGAGCCGATCCTCTCGAGTCCTGGATCCCTGCTACCACCGCCACCGCCACCTTTCGCCTTGGCGGCGGGGATCATTCCGTCAATCACCCCTGGGATCATCCCGTCAATCACCCGGTGGCCACCGAGATCATCCTCCGCGGCCTCCAAGCCATCAACAGACGAGGGAAACAAGTCAATCACCATATTGGAGCCCGAAGTACCCGACGATGACGACGAGCTAGTGCCACTAGACTCTCTAACGCTAGCCATGAGCAAGTTTGGATACTTCACCATAGATCCCCGGGGAGTTCTCCGCTTCTTCTTCACCTTGGAACTCGAGGCAAGCTCCTGCTGCTGCTGCTTGTGCTGCTGCTGCTGCTGCTCCTGTGCGCCTAGGATCTGCTCGGCCTGCTCTTGCTGCTGGAGGAGCTGCGAGAGGAAGGCCGGGTTTTGCATCGCCTTGGCCAGGAAGGACATCATCTGCTGCTGCCGCTGCTCCGTCACCTGGAGGCGCTGCATCATTTGCTGCATGCCGCGCTGCGTGAGGATTTGCTGCTGCCGCATCCGGACCAGCTCCACCATGAGCATGTTTCGATCGCGGCGCAGCCGCTCCACCTCGCCCTCGACGCCTCCAAACTGGCCAACTTCCACGCACGGCTGCTGTTCGGCCACCACGGTGCTGATACTGGGCGACGATCTCGGGCTGCCGCTGCTCGTTCCGCCGACGTTTCGGCGGCGGTGGATGTTCTTGAGTAGAGACTTCTGGCCCCGGAGAAAGTCCTCGTTTGCGAATTCCCATCGGTCGGGATCGACCTTCTTGAACCCCTGGAACGTGAAGAAATACGAGGTAAGAATCAAAGCAAGCAAAACAAAACGATGGCTATGACTAAAGACGGAAGAAAACAAATGAGAAGCTTTCACTCTAGGTACTGTCTGACCATTCTAGAAAGATGAGGATCTAGCAAAGAGAAAGAAAATCCAAGAACAAGAACAGGAGCTACAAGACGAAGAGAAGACAATGTCCTAGCAAGCAAAGCAAGAATGCAGGTACTATGGCATTGGAGAGAAAATTTCCCAATGGGATCGCCCACACAAAAGACTTACATATGTGTTGAGCTGCCTCACAAAGCTCGAGTAATTGCTGTGCTTGAAGTACCTGGGAAGGAGATCGCGCGAGAACTCGGGCGGATTCCACACCACGAAGCTGTTGTTGGTCGCGCTCCACGAGATTATCCCATTCGTGGCCGGATCGTCCACCATGTCGTATGTCTTCGTGAGAAATGGGGGCGGCGCATTGCCCTGGAGCGCTTCCAGCGGCTGCGGCGAAGCGGCGCTCCTCAAGCCGGATTCCTGCATTCCCTCACTCCACGCCGGCGAATCCATTCCAACAGATCATCCGCGCGACGATCGCTATACCTGCGCGACGATGTCCCAGACCCTAGAAAAATTTCCCTCCTCCCCGGGAGAGGCGGAGCCATTATATACCTATGCGAGCTATGGCGATTCATGTTGCATAGGAAGTCTCTAGAATATTCTCGCACCCGCTAGAACCCTAAGACATTAGCTGGATGCAAATATCTCCCGACCGCGATACGTGGAAATATCTTGGCGGCACAGTTGCGCACGTGTCAAGATCTCAAACGTCCGTTACAGAAAAAACCTAGCACAATAGCGGTATACATGCTTTTGGATGCCAATGGGCGGGTAGCACGGGAGGGAAGACATGGGAGTGACAGGTCTATGCATGCAAGTCTCCATTGATCGGCTCGCGCCATGACAGAGCTTAGCCGCCGGGTACGCAAGGTGTCTCTGTGGTTTGCAAGTCATGGCTAAACTCAAGCAGCAAGAGCGTGTTTCCAGCAGCAGTGGAGGATCAGCAAGAACACACTTGGATCGCTTGGGTGGCAGGGATATACTTTAGGGGAGAAACTAAAATCTTTGATGGACGGGTTGACCCATCCATTGTATGGACTAAAGTGGACTAAAGTGAAAGCAGAAAGTCAGAGAAAGAACGCATGAAGTTGAATGGGCATAATTATTTCAGTGCAGTAGGAGTTTGAATGCTGAGTTACCCAGTGACTTCTAAGGTCGTCGTGAGATGTCTACGGGTTTTCTACGTTTCAGCATGAACACAGAGCCATCGCTTGCGGTGAGGCTGCCATCTTTGGAGCTCATGTCTGAAGCCATGGCAATTCCTGTTGTTGTGATCAAATGTAATTTTGAGGTTCAAGAATATTTTATGCAATGGAGTGTGAAAAGAGTTCCAAAGTGACTTCTAAAATCGTTTCGTTTCGTTTCATTCTAGGTGGAATTGTTTGTTTTTTTTTTTTTTAATGTTAGAAAAACACTGCTACAGGACTCTTCTGTCCAGTTTGTTGTCAAGCCCCTGTCAAGCGTGGTCAAGGGACGCAATCCTTTTACTTTGGCTTTTCTGAGACGGATGTTAACTAGCTTGGCCCGCAATCAGAAGGACATCGTGCAAAACCGCTGCCTTCATCGGGTGTTGTTTTCTTTTGTGCTCTACTGGCCAGTCCGTAAATCTCACGAAAACGGTCGAGTTGATCACAACAACAGGAATGATGGTGATCTTCAAGTTGGAGGTGGAATGTAGGAGATGTCTTAGCTTGAAGCAGATGGTGTTAGAGTTTCGTTTGAAGTTGGCAACGGTGTGGTTCAAGGATGGCCAGCACCTCTTTGTGGAGGTGTGTTGTATTTGCCGAGTCAAATGTGTTCTTTTGTGTTGAAGTAGAATTGGGAAGTCGAGGAGTGGTTCTGCAGCTCGCTGTTGGTCGTAAGCTATGCAATCTTGGACAAATTCGACAGTTTTGATCGCTTGAGCGCATAAGTAGCAAATTCGTCCCTCCCATGGCACTTTGCATATGTCCCAAGTGCCGAGCTCAGAGTGAAGATGGTGGTAGCCTGTTCTGTATCGTGCCAAAATTCTGCGATGTTTCCGTCCCATGGGTCAATAGTAATTGTCCGATCCTTGTTGACCGTGGTGGATCTTGATCCGCACCTTGGAGCCACCATTCAAATGCTCATTCAAGCCAGTGTGCTGGGACATAGGCAATGTTTTCATCAAGCAGAGTGTCAAGATCCATTCCACGATGTGTAGTTCACAAGCAAAGTTTTTGCCACTACCCTTGTCCAGTTGTGTCTGCAAGGTCAATGGTAGCATAATTCTCTCGCATAATTCTTTGGCCCATCAGGTTCAGAAGGTATTGTATTGTGTTCATCTAGATCGGGAACATACCAGATTCCAGATCATGATCCCAATGGCACCTTGTTGCAACCAAAAGATTTAGTTGCTTCATTTTCTTCCATACAGTTTGTCATGTGGACCTTTAGTTGAGGGAATTATATCTCAATTGGAAAAGAATATTTGCAACCCTAGACCAAGTCATGAGCTACCTCATAAATGCTGCCTCCCTCATCAACCAGGAATCTTGTTTGAATCAACAAAAGATTTGTTTTCATTCATTCGTTCATTACAAGGTACCAAGAAGCATGAGACCCACGGATTATAGTAAACTGTTTTGATGATCTGGTGAGCCGTTTTGCCACTTGCTGCTGCTCACCACTGGTGCTGCTGGCTACTAGAAGAAATAGTGTGTAGGGGTTGCAAAGGGTGCTGGCCATGATACTCCAATACTCTCACCAGTTGAGCAAAGGTGTATCACATTCTCCTTAAGAGCAGCATTGTTTCCACAAAATATCAAAAGTAATCATTTGAAACTCAAATGCATAAGCAGATGCAATTTTAAAGCTTTGGCACAATGCTCTGCTCCAGAATATTCGACCACCCGCCTAAAGAATATCACTCTAATATTCTGTCCTACATTTGCGGGCCAGCGGACATATCTTGGCGGCATGGTTTCTTTCAATTGGTTAGCACAAATAGTAGGTTAGATATATAGAGTATATCATTGTTAAGCACAAAATACAAATAACCAAAAGAGAAAACGCTAGAACGCTAGAAGAAGAGTTGGCTCCACACGGAGCTTTTGAGATTCGAGTAGAGGTTGTAGAGGGAGTATTGCTGGAGCTTGGCGACTTGGTACCAGGTGTTTAGAACAACGTTGTTCTTGTCAGTCCCAGAGAAGGTGACAGTGATCCCAATGCTGCAATCCACTCGGCCGCCGCGATGCCTGCAATGCGAGAGACGAACGGCGCAGTCGCCGCTCTTGAGGCACACGAAATCGTCGCGGCCGTCGGAGCACGACTTGCAATCGTTGCCCTTCCAGAGCATGTTGATCAATCGGCCCTTGCGGAACTCGAGCACCTGGAAGAACAGGGAAAGAGGGGCGCGAGATGTTTATAAAGATCCTGTTTGATCTTCTTGCAAGAGAAGCTGACCAGGGTGAAACTTGTGACGATCTTCTCGTTGTCTCCGACGAAATGTGGCTTGGATCTGGCACCGAATCGGCTCCCCGCGTAGCTGACCATGTAGAGTTCGTTTCCATTGTCCTGAAAAGATCGCTACGCAGTGAGAACAAACAAAGAACGGCGAGAAAACCAAGAACAATTTCACACGAAGTTCCCATTGATCCAGCCAGATCCGCAAGAGATGCGAGCGACTTACAGCATTGAGGGTGCTGGTATCGTTGACAGTGAGCAAGCTGATCTCGTCGACCCTTGGCCGGAACGCCGCGATCCGGCCGCTGTAGAGATTGCTCAAGCGGCGATCGCAGGGCGAGAGCTGGGAGCGGCCGAGGAAGAAGGAGGAGTTGCTGCTGAACGCCAATCCAAACGTGAATCCATCCAGAACCTGAACCCTAGTGTCGCCACACGGATTGAACACCGGGTTCGTGTCCACGGCCGCATTGATCGATTCCAGCAGCGCCACCGCCAGGCCTAGCGCCAAAAGGAGGAACCTCGCCGCGCTCCTCCCCCATGGAAGAATCGCCATAAACACACACTCACTAGAGCTGAGAATAGGGTTAAGACATTGATAAAGAATTAAACTTCCTTGACCTCATTTTTTGCAATAAGAATATACTTTGGCATCTGCCTATTATTGACAAACCATCCAAAAAATATCAATATCAACTCTAGACCAGATAAATATATTAGGAATTTTATTAACTCAAATCTAGACCAGATTTATACAAATCACAATCACAAAGGTGGAACACAAAATACAGGAGCACCATTTTCATTTTTTATGAAATTATTCATTTCTCTTTGCGATGTCCTTACTTCATCCTTTACTCCAGTATTACATGTTGTAACTAATACAGTATCATACATTTCAGCACTACAAGAACTTAGAAAACCACCGCCAAGCACTAAATCCCCACCATTATTTCCATAAAGTCTGTTGAGATCTAAATACTCGTCTTCAAAATCTGGAGGACACCTAACATGGATCCATTGCCTAAAGAAAGCAATTTCTTTGCAGGTGAATTTAAAATCTCGACACACCTCTCCCTGCCAAAATAATAAAATAAAAAAAATTCTAAAACAGAAAAATAATAACACTTACAGCAACATAATTATAAGAGGTGAAAAGCGTCAATGCAAAAACTAATTTCAAAGCAGCATTCATACTTGTTATTATGCTATTATGCTAATGGCAACATAACCAATATTATCTATCACAACTCAGTAAGAACAAAGAAAGTGGGCTTGAACTATGCTTCTGTTTTAAAACAAGCAAAGTGGCCTTTAACTATGCTTCGTTTTTAAAAATAAAAAATAAAGAAAGAAACCACCAAAATGGAACATAAGAATTGATGTTTGTTTGCTTCCATGGCCACTCATTTGTTCTTTGTTCTTTGTTCTTTGTCCTCTTCTCTATGTTCCTTGTTCCCACCCCTCTTTTTTCCCCTGGCTTTTGCTCAGCAGAAGCAAAAGCAGACCGTGAGGTCATGCCCATCAGGAGCTCCTCATGTTGGTCTTCTATTGAGATTCGCGTCTCAACACTTTGGCATGATATTTGCTAGAGAATGTGGGCAGCAGCCAGGGATGTTTATCCTGAAAATAAAAGAAACTTCTTAAAACAAAGAATGAAAATCGCACAAGCAGATTCCAAAGCATAAATTTCAGCATTTTATATGTCTATGTGTATATATTATGTATATTTATATGTATGTATGTATGTATGTATGTATATATATATATATATATATATATATATATATATATATATATATATATATATATATATATATATATATATATATATATATATATATATATATATATATACACACACACATATATATATATTTCAAAAAATGTAATATCACACACACATATATATTTATATAAAAATAGTGTGATAATATTATATATGATTAGTATAATACTTCTTTAATATAGTGTTAATTGTTGAGACTTGAGGGTTAGATTAAATTTGTGGTCCTTGTCAAGGAGAGTTTTGTATTTTAATAGGTAGATTATTTGGTAATGTGTATCTAGAAAAAGCAACATATAATTGGCTAGGAGTGACAACAAAGTAATATAAATAGTCATTAAACTTATTTAAATGTTTGCCCTTTACATTTTAAAATAGTTAGACAATAACCCAAACATATAAGAAATTGTATTCTTGACTTTTTGAATGGAGTTTCATTGTTAAAAGGTATTAATGTATTTCAAGAAATAAATGCTTGTATTTGTAAACTCTTAAATTTGGACTTCTTGGGAGGTCATTCAACTTAGTATTATTCAAATAAAAAAACACTTAACCACAAGTATCTAAAAATTCTTAACCATTTGGAAAAGGGGGTGTACTTTTATTTATGGCCCTTTCTCTCTATAGTTAAACCCTTATAAATCGTCTTTTGAATTATTCCTTTTAGTTTTTTACAATCCACTATACTTTCTTATAAATTCACACTCTCATAAACAAAAGTTGAAAGTTATAATTTGAGAGCCCCACTCTCTTGATACCCTATCGCTTATATCAATCTCAATTGAAGGCAAATATTAATCTTAGCAAATGGTGTGATTCCCTTAGCTAATTAATAGAGTCAGATTCGAAACTTTTTTCATACCAAATGTAAACCCCTAAATTTGGACTTTCTAAAATGTCACTCAGCCTAGTACGATTCAATGTTTAACCTCAAATATTCTAAAACCTTTAACCAATTGAAAAAAAGAAATGCACTCTTATTTATAGGCCTTTTCTTTTATATATAAACTTTTATGGATTGTTTATTAAGTTTTTCCCTTTATTTTTTTATAATATCTTTTTATATTGACTAGTAATTATTTCACTATTGATTGCAAGTTTTTTAATAATAATTTGGCCCCATACA